TTTTTTTTTCTCAGATAGGTAATGCCTATTATGTATAATTACTGTCATTGGAGAAAAACAAATTTTATTTATTGATGAGTTGTTTTTCATTAGTGAGATATACAATACCAATTAGATGCAAAAGTTTGAATATATTTTTTTCATTAATGAGATATACAGAGACAATTAGATGCGAAATTTGTTGTTCGACAATATGTATCTTTCATTTTATGTACAACCACTGTGTTTTATGATGACGGAAATTCTCAAAAACGAGTATTCTTTACACTAAAAAAAAATCTAAATGATGATCTAATCTAGCTCTCTAAAATGGTGCTAATAAACTCTGAAATAGTTTACGCCGAGTGAAAGCGTTTATAAATTCAAGGGTTTATGAATGTCTTATTCTACAGTAAAACATTGCTGTTCGAATTTTAAAAGATATATTTAGTTTAATACATTTTCTATTGTTTATTTTATCAATATTTATCAAATATACAAACAATTCATAACATAATTCAGTGTAAAATATCTGTATTGATTATTATCATTTGGTATATACAATTATCTATGAAAAATTTATACTGAAGTTAAAATTTGCAGATGTTTTATTTGAGAAAAATAATTTGAATCAAAATCAAATATAAATAATAAACGTGATTTGCCATTAGTTGCCTAACTTTGAATATAGAAATTAATCAATATTAAATGAAAAATTAAATAATATCTAATCTGAAATTTTTTTTCTATTCCTATTTGATAAAAGAGGTGATAGAGTTATTTCAATTCTAATAGCAACTTATTTAAAAACAAAATATCTTCTTTTTGAAAGAATAAAATATGTTGATCTTCTATAAATTTTTGGTTTACATGTTTTATGATCAATATTTGTATAGAATCTCAAGCTTATATCAATTCTTTTATTAAAAACGTTTTTGCTGTGAGGTTAAAAACAAGAGATTTAATCCAAATCTTCATTATGGTTGCTCATTCTCTTCAAATATCTTGATGGTGTGGGATGTAGGCATAGATGCGTGAATACAGATACAACTTGTATCGATATTTTTCCCTACTACAATCACGACATACATCTCCTAACATGTATCGATATATCGATACATCCCCACACGTATTCACACATGTATTGATACATGTACCCATATATGTACCCCCAGAAAACCTAGAATTTCAGAATTTCATGTATCGATACATCAGTACATGTATCGAGAGACGAATACATGTATTGATACATGTACCCATATATATACCCCCAGAAAACCTAGAATTTCAGAATTTCATGTATTCATGTATCGAGAGATGAATACATGTATCGAGAGATGAATACATGTATCGAAACATTAGTACATGTATCGAGAGATGAATACATGTATTGATACATGTACCCATATATATACCCCCAGAAAACCTAGAATTTCAGAATTTCATGTATCGAGACATCAATACATGTATTCATGTCTCGACAGTTGTATTGATGTCTCGATACATGTACTGATGTGTCGATACATGTATCCATGTATCGATACATGAAATTCTGAAATTCTACGTTTTTTCGGGGTATAGATATGGGTATATGTATCAATACATGAAATTCTGAAATTCTGGTTGTTTTAGGTATATACATGTCGATACATGTATTCATGTATTAATATATGAATACATTGATTGATACATTGATATATGTATTAATACATATACTGATAAAACAGTACACGTAAATGTATACCTGTTCAGATCTACATGTATAAAATGTGGATACAAGTTGTATCTGTATCCACGCACCCCTCGATGTAGGTGTACATTTGGTTGTTGTTTACCTATCTACACCCACATCCAACAATATCAATTTTAATAGAATATATATGTTATTACATTAAATCTATCTTATTTTCATTATGTCTTAAGGGTGTGGGGAATGAATGAGAAGAATACACACATCCACATTTCACAGTTAAGCATTATTGGAAAGAAAACTTTGTTAGTTCAGTATCATCGAGCAGAACCTTTTGCTTACTCATTACAAGATAAAATTCCTCATGATTTTACGATTGCTATACAGAATATCAGTCTAGTTTTGTACGTACTAAAGAGTCATGAAACATATTCGAAAAAATCTGCTATATTTTCTGAAAAGCATCATCCCCATCACAACATAGCAAGAGTGCTAAAGAAACACCATTGGAAAGCAAGTAGCTTTATTCGTTATTTTTGTGAAAATACAACACAAAACAAAATATATGTATCATCATTACTAGCTCTGTGTTTGTTATTGGAGTATATTTAATATTAGAATTTACAGCTTTTCTTCTATTTTATTGCGTTCAATAAATTTATTAATTTCATATATGGTCTCGTCTTCAATTACATTCTTTGTAAGATGCAGTGTGGTGAGTGCCTAAATGAAAAAGTGGAAGGAAAAAAACATAGTACGTATGAAAAGACAATGAGAATTACTTTGTTGTGTCGTAATGCATTAGCCAAATATTGTGCTCCAACATCTCTGATTCGGTTTTTCCAAAGATTTAATGTGGTGAGTGTCTAGACGCAAAAGTGTAGATAAAGAGATGATATAGATCAAGAGAAAATGATAACTACTGTATTGTATCGTAACCCACAAGCCAACTGTTGAACTCTAAAATCTCCGATTTGATTAAATTCGAGATCTAGTGTAGTGAGTGCCTACATGAAAAAGTGTAAGTAAGAACATACTATAGATAAAGAGAGAGAGTCGCAATTACTGTGTTATGTCGTAATCCATTACCCAAATGTTCTGCTCCGACATCTCCAATTTCATTATTGTCGAGAGCAAGTGTAGTGAGTGTCTAGATGAAAAATTGTAGGTAAAGACATAGTATAGATAAAGAGAGAATGAGAATTACTGTGTTATATCGTAATCCATTGGCTAAATGCTGTGCTCCAATATCTCCGATTTCATTGTTGTCAAGAGCTAGCGTGGTGAGTGTCTACGCGGAGAAGTGTCGGTAAAAGTACAATTTAGATAATAAAGAATGAGAATTACTGTGTTATACTGTAATCCATCGGCCAAATGTTGTATTCCAACATGTCCAAATTGATTAGATACGAGATCTAATGTGGTGAGTGTCTAGATGAAAAAGTGTAGGTAAAGACATAGTAGAAATAAAGAGAGAATGAGAATTACTGTATTGTGTCGTAATCCATTGGCTAAATGTTGTGCGCCAACATGTCCGATTTGATTAGATTTTAGACTTAATGTAGTAAGCGTCTAAATTAAAAAGTGCAGGTTAAGACATGACATAGATGAAGAGAGAATGGTAATTACTCTGTTGTATCGTAATGCTTCTGTTAAATATTGTGCTCCAAGATCTCCGATTCCATTCCACCAAATATTTAGGGTGGTGACTGTCTAGATGAAAACGCGTAGGTATAGAGATGATGTAGATAAGAGAAAATATGAATTACTGTGTTGTGCCGTAATCCATCAGCCAAATGTTGGGTTCTAACTTGTCCGATTTGATTATTATCGAGATTTAGTGTGGTGATTGTCTAAATGAAAAATTTCTGGTTAGTGAATATTTAGTTTAGAAATCATTCCTGGACAAAAACATAGTTTTTTCAGTAGTTTGTGGATAAGTTTCTCGTGTGTCCATTGGTGAGATTGAATGCGTGTTTACCAACAGAGCTCTGTAAATTATCAGACTTATCTGAATTCATGAGTATGATTGTTTGCATGAAAGAATATTGATTAATAAAAAGTCAAAAAACTTATTTCTTAATCTTAGATTTATTTTGTATAGAAGACGAATGTATACTAAAACATTCTATAAAAAATATTCTTCATGAACTATCCCGGAAAATCTCCCTCTAGATGTAACGTGTTTTACAGCAATTATGTTTTAGAAGTAAAATTCTTTGAAGAAATGATCTATCTTGATAATATGAGAATACGTATGTACTTGTGGATCAGTCTTCTCTTCATCTATAATCACAGTGGCGTAACACTATCAAAAGATGTCATTTTTAATAAGATACGGTAGACTGCAGGCCATTAACTGTTTTTATTATTGAAATAGCATGAAGAAAGTGTTTAAATGTAGATAAAAAAGCAAATAACAATGTTTTATCCCATTTTTTTGTTCTTATCTAAATATTATATACGTATTTATGATATCATACCTGATTTTAAACGTGTAGCTTTTAGATGAGATTGAAAAAAAAATAAAAATGAATTTTTTTTCTTGATTACCGAAACATTATTTTTATATTGTCATGAAACAGAAACTGAATTTTTGAAAGCGATCGATATGTGAGAAATTACTTGAGTAGAGATTATAGGAATGAAGAATAATTGGAACGTTAATTGATAAAAGTTTACCTGGTATCGATGATAACTGTTTACGATTCTGTTGAACCGTTGACATACGTTTTTCATTGTACATAGAATTGTAAAGTCGGTTTGATGATCCAGAATTCGATAGACAAGTTCCACCGGTAACGTAAGAAAAGTGGTAATAATTTGATTTGACATTGTAAGCTGTTATTTTTTTTCTTGCGATTAAATGTGTAGATGTTAGTTTTGTTATTGGTTTCACATGATGTTGCAATTACTTGTTGAAAGAAAAGAGAACGAAAAAGAATGATGACAATAGCTATACACAACGTTTTCATTACGACTGTTTTAACGAAATAAAATGATATATAATAGACATGACTATTGCGTTCTTGGTTATAATTAACAGAATTTGAATGGTTCGCTATTTTCAATAATGTCCAAAACGTAGATTGTCATTCAATTATAGAATCGAATGAAGATTTTTATTGAGATGGAGCAAAATTTCTCCTCAAGACACAGAGACAGATAAGTGCACTGAAGAAAAAAAAAAAAGAGTATTCCTTTTTTGATTAACGAATGTTACTCTAATTTGATCTGTTGGTGAATAAATTTGTCTGAATTGATGAGAATATTTTATTTCATGTACCAAATTTTTTTTAAATACAACTATTTATAGAAAGAAAGCTTTTCATCAATAGAATAAAATGCTTTCGTTAGTCCCAAAACGAATAAAGTGTTCATTACTCATACATTGAACAAACCATCGATGTTCATCAATCCAAAATGAACTACCAAATGAATTCATAAATTCATCAATTTGTTCCTCTGTCATTGGTCGAATAATAGATAAATTTCCCATTGATAAGTGAAATGTTCTTAGTTTTGGTAAATGGTTACGTATGAGATCTTCCCATTGATAACCATCAATGAAATCGCAACATTTCATAGTAATCTTCAAACAATGTAAATTTGGTGTATTTCGTAAAAATGAGATGATTTTCGATGAATGAGCATTGATAAAAATCTTTAAAATGGTCAATGATGAAAAAGATGATCTTATATAATCGTCATCATGGTCAGAAGAATGAATATGGGCGTGAAGATATTTGAGGTTAGGTGTATATTGAAACAATCGATTGATTGAATTAAAATTTAATGCCTCAGGATTGATAGATAAATATGTGACTGATGACGAGATCTTTGACAATATAATAAACGGTTGTTGTTTCATCTGAAGAAGCCTGAAATAACAATGAGTTAAGTTTGGCAAGTTCCAAATATTTTTTGTCAGCAGTTCGAAATCCGTTTCATTATAATCTGGAAAATGGCAAGTATACAGCTTTAAATGAGTCAGTTGAACAAGATGAGGCAATTCAATGGCGATTTTTAATAGAATTTCTTTTGAACTAAGATAAGATAATGAAAGCGAACGTAAATGAGTGAATTGTCTCAATGATGGTAGATAAGAAGAAAATAGCTCGATTTGTTCTAGAGTCGTCGATTCATAGAGATGAAGAGCAAGAATGCGATCAGCAATCATTGGAACATGTTGTTGACATATTAGATCAAAATTACGTTTGGACAGTGACGAGAACTCGAAGAAATAACATCGATGTTGTTTGTAGAGAAGAGCATTTATACGAGCATTGAGACCATAAAATGCCTGAAGAAGATCATCGCCATTCAAATATTCGAAGAAAATAAGTAAGATTTCGTTGGATAATAAGTTAAAATTCATTGCTGTCTCTTCCATGCGTATAACTCACTTGTATAAATAAGATATAGTTTAACAATGTCAGACAGGTCAAAATTATAGTAACAAAAGATGATATGACTAATCTATAATGGTCGTCTTTTTTGCCCGTCATGATGGATTGTGATGATCAGATATATACGATACTGTATCTGACTAGTCTAGACAAGCAGTGAGAATGGCTCTGCACTATTGAAAAACTATTGAACTCTTTGAACTGGAATCAACTTCTATTAAATACAAATTATGAACTCTATGTCTGGCTAAGTTCTGTAATTACAAAAACAAATAAATTTTCTTTAGCTTTTTTTTAGAAAGTATGTTCAAATTAGAAACCTTTCAAAATTAGTTTAACTTTGTCTAAATCTCATCTTCGCCTGACGTATAAATTTAGAATACGATACCGACACAGGAAGTAGATAGAAGATGTTATACCCCTGAATGTGTATTATAAGCGTTGATATACATGTAATATAGAATAGACTGAAACAAACCCTGATATTCTGAACAAGAAAAATCAAAGTTATTAAATGAAACTAGTGATATAATCAGTATCAATTCTTTTGAAGACATTGAGAATAAATTAAATTTGAAAATGATATAAAGAGTATTCTCTTAACGATGATATAGCCCGGTTACTTACATTCTTGAAACCGGTTCTGTTATGGATAATAATTGAAAATTCAAGGGAAATCTTGTCGTTTTACAAATGAGATAACCAGATGCTTATATGTCTTTGACAAAATAAAGCTTAAGTTCTGACAAAATATCTCATTTGCTTTTTTATCATTAATTAAAAAGTAGAAAATCAAAAACAGAAGTTTAATCTACTAATATATTATGTCAATTTGTAACACTAAGTCTACAAAGCAAAAAAACAATAATAATTCTTTTACTGATCTTGTTAGTCACAATCTAAAAGAGAGTATCGAAGTATTACAGTAGACATTTTGAATCCAATCCCATTGTAATATTTGTGTTATGCTATAAACAAACAATCAACTGATTTTATCATTGATTAATTCAAAATGAAAAGAAAATGATATCTTTGATCATCGATCGTTAACTTTCGAAGATTCCATAGTGATTACAAGTTGATTATCTTCAGTATTTATAAAAGTTTTTCTTCTTCTTTTGGTCTGTTCATTTGAATCGATATCATGTTATGGTTCTTCTCTATTGATACATTCTTTTAAGAGTTTAATTGTTGTATTTTTGGTATTCAATTTAACCGATCAACGAGAAGAACATCAGCAATACTAAAATAAATAAATCGACATTGAGCTCTTCAAATCGAGGAGGAATGCGGATAAAAGTGTAAATAAATAACAAGTACTCGCATCCTCAAGATATCGATCTATTATTAAAACAAAAAGAAATTATCATCTATTTATCAGGAATAACTTTTATTTTACAAGAAAAACAATAATCATTTAATCTACATGAAAATATTATTGTCATTATTTAATCCATATCTGAATATCATTAATACCAGATGGATCTCTACTTATTGTACAGGTTGATGGTAAATGATCAATCAACCATTGAATATCTTCATCGTCAACGTTGTTACATATTCTTGAAGGCTTAAGTTCATAGATTTCTTCATCCGTAAAACGAGCACGTAATGCATAAAGACTGGTGATGTTGTTTACAATAATCGTAATACTTTCACGATTCTTCACTAGAATGTCAAGGTATTTACACTGACTAGTCAATGAAGAATGACTTAATATAATACAATCTTCTTCATTGAAATAATGTTTACAATATTGTAAATATAAATAATAAATTGATGAAGATGTACAATTAAATAGTGACATTGGGAAAGGTAATGATGCATCTTGATGAATAGTCAATGAGCGAAGATCAGGCATTCGATTGAGAAGCGCTTGCAATTCAGATTGTGAAAAATAAGTAGAGAAATCTAATAAAAGTGATGAGACTTGATGTAAATTTGAAATCATCGACCAATATTGATCATTGATAGGAAATTTTACTGAAACAGAGCAAAGTTTTGAAAAATAAATCTTCGATGAAATTGATTGATTGAAACGCATTACATCCAGAAAACTACTCATAGAAGTATGAAGTCTTTCAGTCTTGTCTTGTGAATCTATTGATTTGAACATACTAGGAAATTTGTTATTAATATAATAAAATGCGTCCGACACGGTCTCAAAACGAATTAATAATTTATCACACATACATCGAAAAAACCATCGATGTTCATCAATCCAAAATGAACTACCAAATGAATTCATAAATTCATCAATTTGTTCTTCTGTCATTGGTCGAATAATAGATAAATTTCCCATTGATAAGTGAAATGTTTTTAGTTTTGGTAGATAGTTACGTATGAGATCTTCCCATTGATAACCATCAATGAAGTTGCAACATTTCATAGTAATCTTCAAACAATGTAAATTCGGTGTATTTCGTAAAAATGAGATGATTTTCGATGAATGAGCATTGATAAAAATCTTTAAAATGGTCAATGATGAAAAAGATGATCTTATATAATCGTCATTATGGTCAGAAGAATGAATATGGGCGTGAAGATATTTGAGATTAGGTGTATATTGAAACAATCGATTGATTGAATTAAAGTTTAATGCCTCAGGATTGATAGATAAATATGTGACTGATGACGAGATCTTTGACAATATAATAAACGGTTGTTGTTTTATCTGAAGAAGCCTGAAATAACAATGAGTTAAGTTTGGCAAGTTCCAAATATTTTTCGTCAGCAATTCGAAGTCCGTTTCATTATAATCTGGAAAATGGCAAGTATACAGCTTTAAATGAGTAAGTTGAACAAGATGAGGCAATTCAATGGCGATTTTTAATAGAATTTCTTTTGAACTAAGATAAGATAATGAAAGTGAACGTAAATGAGTGAATTGTCTTAATGATGATATATAAGAAACAAATAGATTAATTTGTTCTGGAGTTGATTTAAAGTCGGAAAGATGAAGAGCAAGAATGCGATCAGCAATCATTGGAACATGTTGTTGACATATTAGATCAAAATAAGGTTTGGACAGTGACGAGAACTTGAAGAAATAACATCGATGTTGTTTGTAGAGAAGAGCATTGATACGAGCATTGAGACCATAAAATGCATGAAGAATATCATCACCATTCAAATATTCAAAGAAAGCAAGGAAGATTTCGTTAGATAATAAGTTAAAATTCATTGCTGTCTGTTCGATGCATATAACTCACTTGTATAAATAAGATATAGTTTAACAATGTCAGGCAGGTCACAGTCATAGTAACAAAAGATAGTATAGCTAGTCTATAATGGTCGTCTTTTTTGCCCGTCATGATGAATTGTGTTAATAAGATATATACGATACTGTATCTGACTAGTCCAGACTATTGGCAAACACTGAGGGTGTGAGTTTATGGTATTTATCCTACCCACAGCTTCGTTCATAATGTGTTCAATCCATATAAACAACGAATGAAAAGAATTGTACAACATTGAAAAAAATTCTGCTGCTTTAAACATTGCACAAATGGTTCATTTATATCATAATAATTTTGCTTACAGCCTAGCTAATGATGAAACGACTCAAAATTAAATTCAAGAAAGGTTTAGATGTCGATAATATAATCATAGTTCGGATTTCTGCGAAGATAAAATCGATCATATTAGTATTCACTATGAATTGATGTTATATTTTTATTCTTTCATATAGAGATTGCTACAAGAATATTTGCTTGATATCAAATAGTCACAAGCTCAACTATGATAAATCATAGTTTGAAATTCTAAGCAGATAAACAACAGTTTATTATTATAGTACGATATTGCATGGCACATAAGTCGAGACATCTAAGCCGAATGTTGATTATCGAGTGATAAAACTAACATATGTCGAAACAACGCTTTCTATAAATAAACTAAATTCACCTGATAATATCAATTATTTAAATATTATAGTTGACGCTTGTATATACAAATGCGGAAGATTGTCTATTGGTGAAATTGATCATTTTTTTGATTCAATTTGTGTTCCACAGACGTTTCTTTTAGATTTTTATGCTTAAGAGTTATACATACTGGAAAAAATAGTCAATAACTTAAGAGTAAGCAATATTCAGTATCATTGATTTAATCTCCATAACTTGCAAAACTCATTTTGTATACAAATTGAAGAATATATCAACGAAAGCTTTGCTAGTATTATGGCTGAGTCAAATGAATTACAAACTAGTACTAGAATCACAGTTATACTGCTTAAAAAATGTAAAGTTTAACGAATATTTTCTGAAGAAGCATCATCAGTGCTAGTTGAACACGTTTTCATTCAAATAGATATTATTATATCACCTCGAAAACATTAATTCATAAGTTTGATATCCTTACGTGCAAATCAGAATTTGATTTGAGAGATAGTTAAAAAACTTTCTCTGAACTTTAATTCATTTTTATGGTTACAGTTTATAACAATGTTGATTATTAAAATATTTGATTCTACAATCTTAATTTTAGAAATGAACAATATAATGTAACTTAAGATGATTGCGCCAGTGTTATAAAAAAACACCAAAATTACAAGAAAAAACAGTGTGTCAATCCTAAAGAGAAACATTATTTATTATTTCAAGCGCAAACAAATGTCATGAATACTTGTACTTTTACTTTCTATGTGAAAAAGTACAACAATTATAATTAACAATATTTTCATCCTAGCTCTATCTAAATCGAAGGAGCGATAAAAAATTTTTTTTCAACTCTTAGATTTTTGTCGCCTTATCACCCTTCAGCAAAATAGAGTGAGATGCAATTTTAACTTTATTCTTCCACCAGCTTGAATGTCCTTTTTAAAGGTTCGTTCTTCTTCCGATGTACTTTTTTCAAGTTACAGCATGATTCATTTAGCGAGCAATGAAGACGTAGGTAAAAAAAAGTTAGATGTTGAAAGAATGAAAAAAGAAACGCTCTGCATTTGTCACGTCTTCCATTTATTTTACTTAATTTTATTTTTTATCTACTTAAAACTGTTTATATATTTACGAATGCATTTCAATGGAATGAATTTGAAATTAAAGTAAGATTTCTTTATTTCAATATAGAGTTGAAAATAGTACATCGTTTTTTTTTGATTGATCAAAATTATTAGAACACCATAAATACCTTAGATTGATTCAAAAAGTTAATAGATGAATAAAAAAAGTTTATTCTGAAATAGTCAAAAATGACTGAAAAATTCAAATATAAATTTTTCTTAAAAGTGTTTTTTTTACGAAACAGTTCAGAATGAACTTCTCTATCTAGCTGTATAGTTTTCGAGTCAGTATGAAGTATCTTCAGTATTCCTATAATTATGACTGATCCAAAAAAAAAACATGATTTTGAATAGAATACGTTGAATTACTGAGAACACGTAAGAAAAGAAGATGAAGACGCATTCAATTACTTTTTCTGATTTTCTGCCACAGTATTAAGAACTAATCTGTCCCATGAATCACTTGCAGATGTATTTTCATCTTCGTTTGCATAATCGAATCGATTTAGAAGTTTATCGTGGAACTAGTCACTTCAGAAACACAGTTAAAACGATTTCATATTATAAATTCATGTTAATTTTTTAACGAATAAAATATATTACAACAAACGATTATCTTCATTTTTAGAAGTTAGAACATTGTCGTATTCGTGATTCTATTAAGTGCGAAGCAGATTATTAGTGAACATTTACGATCATAAAATTCAAGTACTTTACCTAAAATGCTCCATCACCTTATTCACCATCATGGAACTCTTCAAAAATGCAAGCAATACTATTTGTATGGGGTTATTTTCATAGAATTCCTAGTCATATTTCAATTTCATTATCGTTACTGTATTACAAATAAAAAACTAACAACCGTAGAAAATCTAAAGATGGTAACCAACTCAAATTTATTGATGCCCAAAATGTACGAAAGTCGTTCGAGAGTAGTCAATGGTAAATGTAACGATCCGTACAGATCAGAAAATAACATAACAACGTGTTCGTCTACTGATTTGCTATATATGTATCCATGGCTTAATACGGCTCTTTATCCTCTTCAATCTCAATCTTTGATGTATTGTGCTATTCCAAAGATAGCATCAAAAACGCTTGTTTCACTAATGATGTATGTTTTTGTTCGTGATATTATAACTCATCTCGATAATAATTCGACAAATATTAATATTAAGAGAATTCGACCAGAACAACTCATTGATATTCCTAAACTCATCAATCAACTTCAAAAGGTATGACAAATAAATAAAATGACAGCATTTATATTTCAATCTCTCATTTTAGAATGGAATTACAATTACAAACACAAAAGAATCGACTTCTTTTTCTTCGTTATTGCAAGCTTATCTTCATCTCCTTCGTTTTGAAAGCGTCAATAGTACGTCTCCATCTCTATATTTCAATCCATGGAGATTAAATATAAAAGACATATTTCATAATTTTGATTTCAAAAGTATATCAAATCTATCTGATATATTTTCTCCATCTTTCACTCGTGTTCTATTTGTTCGACATCCATTTGAGCGTCTAGCATCGGCTTATAAGGAGAGAATTGCAACACTCGCAAAAGATAGAATTCAACCAGAAACTTACTACGATGACGTTCGCAAGGTAATCTGTCGTCGATATACACATCCTGATTGGGTTCCAAGTTCATTGAAAGAAGATCACCCATGTGAAACCTTTGTTCCGCCATTCAAACATTTTGTTGAGTTTATTCTCACGAATACTGGCTCATATGCTGGAATAACTCGAATGGATGGTCATTGGCAGCCATATACAGTAGTTTGTCAAGTGTGTAAATTTAAATATAATTTTATTGGTAAATATGAAACATTCGACAATGATTTTAATTCCTTGCTCAAACGTCTTAATGTATCTGATTGGAATAACGAAAAGAGACGTGGCGCATCCGGCCATAATAAATGGACCTATCAACAATTGTTTTCATCCTTACCTGATAATCTTATTTGTCAACTCAAACGTCTCTATAATGATGATTTACAATTATTTAACTATCGAATAGAAGATTATGTCAATCGAACAACGTTGATTTGCTAATTGTTATCTGAAACAGTAGAGAAACGCTGAAATGTGTATATGGATATATTTATTATAAATAATAAATTTGAAAGAATCAATAAAATAGTCAATGATTTAGTTAGATATAGTCTGAATATCGATTGATAGGAAGAAAGAGAAACTTGCAAGTTTTTATCGGTACAATTATGAATAACTGTGTTGAGATTCAATTCGAAGATGAAATTCTAGAATTTCCTGTAATCGATTATCAAGATCAGAGATAGATATGGAGGTGGATCTTATGTTCATCTCTTATTTTCACCATCTATAGGGTGGGTATTGGTTGAAGTTGAGCGATTATAGGCACGAACATCCACACCCAATTAATTTTAATCAGGTCATTTATTTCAAAAACGTTAGTTTAATACTAGATGTTAGCAATGTGAGGGAATGAAACTTTTCAAACATAACTATAGTGATAATATCTTTGTGAAAATTGCGTTGCATATCAATAAGACCACATTTCACTATCGATTTTGATCCGACACAGTCAATCTATTTCTCTATCTACTGTATCGTTGCTATTTCTTGTAACATGTAGATACGTTACTTTCATGCATTGTATTCTAAAGAATATTAAGAACATTTCTATCACATGAAAACCTTTTGTAAGTCAGTTTTATTATTATTTTGTGTGCATTATTTCTAAAAGTTTTCAATTAAAATAACATTTTCATGAAAATTTGCTGTTAACGTAATATCATAATGCAAGATTATCATGAATATGACATTGCAATTAAATATATATTCTTTTGAGCCTACCAGCATGTACTTATTATGATCAGCTAATATATCAGTTCGAAGTATATTCATTTCTTATTCAATGACTATCAGAAATCAAAAATCATCTTTATCTCAAAGTGTCAAAGATTAATTGTAAAAACACTATTCAAATAAAAAGTCATTTGTTATGCATATTATGTACGGAAAAGTAGTATGATAATTTAAAAGAAAACCGTCTCCCGAACTTTTTAAAGCAAGATAACAATGAGTATGAGCATTTTATCCGCTCACCCTTCACACAGATCTAATATTTACAAAATTTCAACAAATATCAGAAATTGTCGTGAGTAAAATTTTTTTTTGATTAGCTAAACTCATATATCCAATGATAGATAAGCAAACATATCACCATTCTTCATTTTCTCTCTCAGATTTAAATATTTGCTTTCAGAAAGAATAAAAAAATGACGAAGGCGATATAAGTATTAAATATCAAACGTCATCGTTAACTTACCTTATCACTTTATTTCTGTGCGTCAAACACATAACAACACGCTTGTTTCAATGACGTACAAAATAAAACATTCATGAGTCAGTTATATATTTTCATCTATATAAATTAAGAATTTTTATTTTAGATAATATAAACATGTTTATTCATCTATTTTTAAGTTTCGTCTTATTACATCAAGTAGCATGTCAAATCTCATGCTATATTTGTCCTCTCGAAAGGAATAGTTTTCAATACAATATTACTACAGAAAATATTCCGACACAATTAAATAATTGTACAATAGAAAACGAACAACAGTATTGTATTGTTCAAATCGAATGGAAAGAAAATCCAAAAATTGAAACGACTATTCGATTAGCAGGTTATACAAATCCATATCCAAGATCGAGCTTTCCACCTCATACACTAGCAGTAAATGCATATATACCCAATGATCCAAATCGATTCGAAAGAGAAGTAAGACATTTCTTAAGTTATAGTTGTTCAACTAATCAATGTAATCAACCAGCCGTTTTAAAACCTCTATTAGAATCTTTAATAATGAATGACCAATTAAATGAACTTGAGTATCTTCTTAAATCAAATCAAACATTTGATCCACAATGGTGTTTATCCTTTCAAAACACAAGTTATTTCTCACAAAGAAATGATTCAAAGGATTGTAATCAATGCCGAAATTATCTTACGTATAAGAATCAATGGAAAGCAGTAGATGCATATTGTTATACATCAGTTTATCCAGAAAATCGATTAGGATACGAAGTGACATTTGACTTGAAAGATCAGACTAGATCGCATAGTTGGATGATTCAATGTCAAGCACCGAATTGTAGCTCAATGAATAATATGAAACAAATTACGGAGAAAATACAAATTGAATTTGATGTTAATACGTTTTTAAAAAGAACATCAGCTGGACGATCAATAGTTCATTCAACGAATTTTCATAAAACAATATTTATGTTTGTTTTAGTTTTATTTATTGACCTTTTTTGGTTTTAGTGGAAGTGTATTGATATTTCTATTGAATGATAATTAAAGAATAAAGTTTTATACTGAAAGAGTTAATATTAATAAACCGTTTGCACTTTGAGACTATATAGTAAATATAATATTTATCGCGCATTCTCCCACCTTGAGGATGGGAGTGTGAACGCATAGATATGGAGGGTGTGGAATGGAAATAAGACCCACATCCACATTTACACTCTGAAACTTTCTTTATGCTTGGGAATTCCATATTCATAAATTAAAGCGTCACTGTATTTTAGATAAATACGTAAAATTTATCTGAGTATAAATATTCGTTCTTCAAATAATAAAGTATAAAAAATATTTTGATTATGAAATTGATAATGTTTTGTATTTCGAAATCTTTTTATATAACAGAATTTATAGTTGATCGTTCTATCGTTATTTATCCAAACATCATTAAATGTCTTTCGAACTACTACATTTAAAGAATGATAAAACTTTTCTATAAAAATTGAGAGACTAATTTAAAATTTACATGTTAGGAATATCATCTTACAGATAATTAGGTTCTCAAGTAATAGAACAGCTTTGTTCTATATTGGGAACTGTAAACATTTACATTATACTAATACGAAGGTATTAAACTAATTTTTTTTAATCCTTATAAAAAAAGGTCTTAGTATTTTATTAATTATTATTGTTAAGTCAACATCACTGACTATCTTTCTAAGTGAGTTCTTGAATTTGCATTAATCCGTCGGTACCTTCTCAGTTTATATACTGCCCACTTTACATCAATAATTGTAATCTAATATTTATTATGAAATAAACACTTTCATGCACTGTAATTCATAGAAAAAAATGTTTACTTGTTGAATGTCATTAAAACTTTTCCTGAGCATATCAAGATTCACTTAATTAATGTGATCAACTAAATTATTCTTGTGAACTACTAGATTTAGCAGAAGACGAGAAGGGTGTGGGTGTTTCTTATTTCATCAGTCTTTGTATAGCTTTTGTCGCTGATTAGTTCGATAAAAATGAGGACAAATTGATCCTATTATCTTTTTTTGATGGTTTTAGTCATACTCAAAACGAAGAGAAAATACATGATAATGTCACTTCGCACCGTATTTAACATAGCAAAACATGCTTGGTAGATTTTTATATTCTGCAAGTATCTCGTCTTAAGAACATAATAGAATTTTAATGTTCTTTGCAAGAGATTTACCGTCAAAAATTTTCCAAACATTTCTATTATCATCTTTTAGTTTTGATGTCATATTCCAGAGTTTTTCGGGTTGAACAGATGTGTATATATATAGTACACGATCTCTGCTATTCAAACATATAATTGAATTAAAATAATATCGTGTAATTTTGTCATACAATTCAAAACAAAAAAGTGAAACTATACTTTTGACCTGTTTTTTATATGTTCTTTCTTATAAAACCGCTCAGTGCAAAGCTATTTTCGTCCCTTTTCTGACACTACAACACATGACGTTAATTAAATAAGAAAAGATTAAAAAAAAAGAAGGCGGGTGACTGTGACTTTCTCTAAGAATAGTATCATAAAGTATTCATTATTATTACAACGCTTATAAATATCAGAAGAGAATTATTCATTTATTATTTCTATCATGAGTAGCACTAGTATTCTGATGAATTGTTGCACAATTGTAATTCATACATTTTCTATGATTATTTCATTGATAGTTCTTATTCTTATTATTTATCGTCTACGTTACAATAAATTATATCGACATCAAATCGATATTCAATGTCGATCATCAACTTTCGATGATAATATTGCATTGATACTCATCGGTAATACTTATCTAATTTTTTTTATCTATCATATAATATGGATTTCAATAAGTTTGCGTACATTTATTAGAGATTTTGCTTTTTTAAAAGATATCATACATTATGGTGATTCAACATTTTGCCGAATACAAGTTGGGATTATCTTTTTCTTAACGAGTCAAATGTATCATAGTTTTATATTACAAGCATTATATCGTCATTTGAAAATTATTTCCATTTCAAAATTATCTACAATAAAAATTTGTCATATGTCATTATATAATATTTCAATTTATATTTTAATGATTATTTTCAGTTGGTTCATATCGTTTGCTGTTCTAATTCCAGCATATACAACATTTAATGTTTTCGCTTATTTTCCTCAACAATATCATTGTCGTATATCTTTTACAACTGTAAAAGGTTCTATTTATTCACTTCTTGTCTCTTATCTTATACCAGTATGTTTCATATTATATATTCATTGTCGATTTATTTTCTGCATTCGTCGATTACCTAATCGTGGTATTTTATTACAAACAAGACATGAAACAATTGTTATAAAGTATATTTTAAAGATTTCTTTAACAATGTGTGTTCTTGGTTTTCCTACACTTGTTTTTCAATTGCAATTCATCATCATCGGTGAAATACATCCACTTGCTGATCGAATTTATGAACTATGTTTATCGATCAATGCGATGGGCTTTACTCTTTGTTTCGCAAATCTCAACTCACTTACTCAACTTCTACCTCAACTATCTGCTGATGAGGATAGCAGTATGATAAACTTACAAATTTCCGATGTATAGAGTTCAAACATTTCAAATTAAATTGTTTTTTTGTACGATCTATTCTAGTATTCATGTTATATATTGATTAAGAATAAAGATCGATTTTAAAACCAGAACACCATATATATTTCTATAGTAGAATGAATTTAGATAATTTTCTTATTACTAGATATTACTTGTTAAAGGATTTATCTCGTAATATATTCACTGTCTCTATTAAGTTTTGCTACAAAACAAATCACGTGTGATTCGATGATTTTTTCATAATCCTAGTTGATCCTTCGATATCACAAAATAGCTTTCATATCAATGAAGTTCTATTAAATTATCTTATTAAAACAAAAAATATAATTCATTGGTTCAAGTATGTAGACTTCTAATCAAATGTCTTCTATTCAAATCTCATTTATCGCATAATTTCGACTTACGTGTAAAAATAAAATAATCGTCTTGTTCGTTCGTCTCATGGAAGAAAGGATTATCATGAGAACACAATAATGACATATAGTATGTATCCACGCCGATAGGATGTTTTTTTCCCAAAAACGTATTTAGAGTTAATAAATTTTTGCCAGGAGATTATACAAGAATGATGTTAGATACAAATTGTAAGAATATTCATATTAATTATATTTGCATTTTTTATTATATTGAGAAAGTCATTGACCGAACTACGTTTCGTATCACTTCATATGAACATCTGATAGCATGATCGGGTGTTTGGAATCAAACATATTTTTTGGCGATTTTTCGCAGGAGTTCATAAAAGAAACTTTTTTAGAGATTTATGCCAATAGTTCAGCAATAAATATTAGCGTGTGGGTGGATGCGTGGATAGATAAGGGGAATACACAATCACACCCACACCCACACCCTCATTATCATCATTTATAGTTACATAGACAATATTTGTGATGTTCTTCAGTTATATGTTTGTAATTTGTAATTTCAATGATATCTAACTGTTGGTCATCACTATTCGCATTTTAACATCTTTTCACAGTTTTACTACTGAAGATGGCACTAGAAGTGCTGAAAGCTCTGGTTCTATTAATAATAATATTTTATGTATTATTATTATTTTATAAATTCCAATAATAAAACTATTTAATTCATCTTTTTCGTTATTATTATCAAATGTCTATTTTATCATCATCATTAACTCTTGAAAGCAATTTCAACAGAGTATTTTAGGAAGATGTCGTAATATTTGTCATACAGTCAATATCTTCATATCTTCCACTCTCCTCTTCTTCGACCCACACCCATTAATCAATAGCAAAGCTTTCGATAAACATATTTTATTAAACGATGAAAAACCAATAAAAGATATACCAAAAAAAACAAAATACAAGAAAAAGAAGCTGAATTATATACAAAGCGCACTAACAACTTTATAAAGTTTCATGAAAATAAAAATTAATGAAGATGCTTGAGTAAAGATGAGAACGTTTGTTTTTCCATATTTGCGCTTCTAATCATACCAATCTTTCTGAAACGAAAAATAGTCAATTAATTAAGTATCATAAAGTCAAATATATGAATGATGAAATTAACTGCTCACTACATTCTTCTCGCAAGTCTTCATCAAAATGCTAAATAAAAACAACATACCTCCTTATTAACCAACAATCGGACTAAGAAGACCACTAAGAATACCACCAAGATCCTGGAGAACAGTACCGGTCGTACTATCAACAAGTTGAAAAACACCATTTACATTAACAAGTTGTAGAACATCACCAGTCGCATTATCAACAATCTGGTCAACACCATCCACATTAACAACCTGAAGAACACCATTAGTAGCAGTATTAACTAGCTGGAGAACACCGTTAACATTTACAAGCTGAAGAGCAGGAGCAGTAGGACCATTAGGAAGATTGAGAATAGTACCAGTTGTACCACTAACAAGTTGGAGAACACAATTAACACCACCAAGATGGTTCACCAGATTATTAAGAGTAACACTAACCGAGAGTAAATTAGCAACACTAACACCAAGTTTAATCATATTATCAACACTGACATCAAGCTGAATCAGTTTAGCAACACTAATAGTAACCGATATTCCATCAGAATTAATACTAACACCAACGCTTGCTAGCTGAGCAACAGTAAGACCAATCGACGCTAAATTAGCAACAGGAATAGTAATTGTAGGATTATCACGACGATAACGAGGCGCAGCGTTGCAGCTTGTTAACACAATAAGAAGGAAACACACCATTGTTTTCATGTTGAACATTTTTCGACCGTTAGTCGAAGTAAGAATATGAATATGGCTTGATAGATAAGTAAGAATCGATGAATTGCTTATAATTTTCGAGCAATACTCTCTCTCTTATATATGCATCGAACACGAGAGAGAAAGAGAAATCTACGCAGCGAAAAATAAAATTTATTCCGTAAATAAACCAATCCTGCGTAGGATATTATTTTGTTGCCGAATACAATAAGTGGGAGATAGTGCCTTATTATAGGGACAAAAATAAATATGATTTTTCACTCCCTATTAGTCACGCGTGTACGTCATTGATGTGTTTGAAAAAATCGTTCGAACGCCATTATTACGATAAAAATAAATGCACTTTCGCATTAGATAATTATTTCGCGCGTAAATCATTGAAGGCATTCGAACGTCATTAATATGATAAAAATAAATTCATTTTCATAGTACACAATTACTACGCGCGCGCGTCATTAACGTCGTTCGACCGTCATTACTACGATAAAAATAAATCCATTTTCGTAATACATAGTTACTACGCGCGTGAGTCATTAACGTTATTCGAACGTTATTACTACGATAAAAATAAGTTCGTTGCTGTAGTCAATTATTGCTGTACACACGTTACTAGTATGGATGAAAAATCGTTTGCATCGAATAAAGAGTTCCTTTTTATCCACACGATTTCGCAGTTGGTATCAATGAAATAGTCTGATATATGCATAAGGCGTTGTATGAATGGATTAAACGAACAGAAAGAACTTTTCAAGAGACTATGAACTGACTTTTGTTTCAGAATGATTTTGTTTAAAAATTTCAGAATTTTCAACATATCAAACATGTTGTATTTTCAAAAGTATGGCTCGAGTGGAATGTATTATAACTTTTCCATAGGTCGACAATGAAATATTATGCAAGAAAGGAAACGAATTCTGTCATTTTTTAACAACTAAATTCATATATCTTGTTGTACTTATCATAAAATATAGTTTTATACAGACAGTATTCAAAATAATAAGGAATATTTTTTTTCATCATAACAAATAGAGATGTATTTTCGAAATTAGATCACTATGAAGGAGAAAAATATCAATTTTTTACATGTTGTGTAATAATAAAAATCTATTTCTTTGTGAAAATAAAACTATTCGTATTCAAATATTAATATTCAGTTGTTCTCGAGGGTGAGGATGTGGGTGTGGGTGTGGACGAAGAACCTAACAACACCCAGCCGTCACCCACATTCTCACTCACACCCTTGCCAATTTTGGTACAAACAATCTTTGTATTGTATTTGGTCTTGAAGATGGTATGTTTATAAATCGAACATGTTATCCATTGAAGTATGATGCTTGAGCAACAAGTGTTGCTTTAAACGATTTAAACAATGACAATCGAAATGATATCGCTGTAGCAATGTATGATATAGACAATGTAAATATTCTCTTGAACATTTGAGAATGTATTTGATTTGTTTTTTCTAGCATGGCTAAATAGGATATAATCGTAATGCATAGAGAGAATAACACTTATACATAATAGTGATGATCGCTAAGAAGATTCAATTGTTGATTAGAAAAATGAAGAATATATTCGTTTTACTTGGCATTAAGATTGTTAAATGAATAGTTCTTTGATTTAGGTTAGTAGTGTATATGAAAATATCTAAACAATTTCGATGAAATGTCTTAAATTCAATTGAAAGATAAAAATCAAATATTTAAAAATTGATTTATCATGTGTTCTTCTATTTCTATGAAGCGTCAATTAACAAAAAAAAGTAAAAGACTAATAAATATTATGTAAAAACTCATTCTTCATTTTTTTAAATGAATATATAATGTCAATCCCATTGTGTGTTTAAAAAAAATAAATAATTTAATATTCTCATGTTTTCAAGATAAATTATTATTATTTACATGAATCCGACAGTACGATTTTAAATCTATTTTTTACAGAAATTGATTAGTATAAAAAAAAGTGTTAGTCATTTTTAATAGAAAATTTTAAATGTAATTTTATCTCTATTATAGCAAATAATCATTCTTTTTCTCTCACACATATGGTGCAATTTTTATTATTATTCACATATATATTAAATACGAATAAAATTTCATCTTTGTGTTATTTATAACTAGAGGTGTAAGCCGTCAGCCGATTTTTGCTGAAGCCGACGGCTGGCAGCTTCCGTTTTTGCTAGAGCCGACGCGCGTCCAAGCTGACGGCTTACACCTCTATTTATAACATAAATAATCAAATAACAATCTGTTAAATGTTGTAATATAATAATGAAATTAATTCAAGATAAAATGTGAATTATGATTTTCAATTCTCATTAGATGTTGCCAAATTAAGTAATTTTATTAAATGAGAGATACACAATTTCAACAAGTAATCAAGTAAAAAGAGAATTAATAGAAATACTTCTGATCGATACAAAAAAAAATAAATGAATAAGATTCAATTTATATTTAATTATTTTATGTGTAAAAAAAAGAAATGTTAATCCATTTAGATAATATTTTATTCTTCCTCATGAACTGTTGACAATAAATTTTCTATTACGTAGAAAAAAATGAACAGATGAGATTTACGTTTGAACAATATTTTGTTTTATGAGAAAAGGGATAGAATATTCTAATGGAACATGATTTTCACCTACGTCAAATCTTTGTTAATCATGATAAAAAAACATCAAATATTGAAAGGAAAAATGTTTCTATTTGAAAAGCTAATAGATTTTATTTTTTCCAGCAACTTCTTTTTCTTTTATTCACACTGAGATTAAATCAGCCTGTTATTCATATTTTTTTTCTATAAGAATAAATCTTTAAATGATCAAATATCTTCTTCTCGATTAACTGTTTTGTTCATTCAACTTTTCTTTTTAATTACTTTCAGAACAAAACCGTCAATTATCTATTCAAATTTCAATAACAAAATACAATTTATTTATTTATTGATTTAATAATGAAATTCAAAATTTTCGCTACATGGCTTTGTCAAAAAGGAGTTAATTACAATCTTTTTATGTTAAAAGATGATGAATATGATGATGATGTTAATATTCAAGATCCAACAATTACTGTTAAACATCAAAAATATAAAACTCGGTTATATGTTATTCTTCTTGCCGGTAAATATATTTTTTATATTATTTAATAAACATATCTATTAGTTCTCAGTCCTGAAAGGATGAGTTGGTAGCACGGAAATTATTCTGTTTGTCCGGTGTCTCATTGGTCAATTGTTCTAACCAATCAGATTTCACCATCATATCATCATGCAGTCCTTATAACTTGAGAGTGGATGAAATAGAGTAGAGGTAGGGATGTACCGAGCCCGAGAGGCTCGGGCTCAGGTATCAGAAACTCACTCCTACATCAATCTGACACTCGAGCCTTGACCGAGCCCCGAACCTGTCGGGCTCGGTACATGCCTAGGTAGAGGTGGATGAAATAGGTTAAAAGTGGGTGAAATAGAGTAGAAGTGGGTGGCCTGGGTGGAATAAGTTGAGAAGGGTGCAATGAGTGAAGTGGAAGAAGAGTGAGTAGAAGTGGATAGGAATGGGTAGGAGTCGGGGTAGGTCTTGATGGGTGGGACAAAGGACCTTGATGCTGTGAAATAATGTATAGAGTTGGAGATCTTGAGGGTGGGTGAAATTATGAGTGTGGTTAGAGATCACGATGATTAGTGAAATAGTGGGTGGAATTAGGGACCTCGATATTGGGGAGGAGGGGGGTTAGGATCTTGATGTTGGGTGAAACCGTGGGTGGCGTTAGAAATCGAAGTGTGTGGTGTAAATATGGGTGCAGTTATAGCCATGGGAAGAAGATCAGTCAACTTGTGGAAAGCTTCGTGACGGGGTTTTGTCATTGATGTTTTTGGAAGAAACTTTGTGTGATAGAATATGTGAATTTTCTTGTGCCGTGAATGTCGTTTCTATTCATCGAAAACAAAGCATATCAATACCATCTGAGTAGTGTTCCGAAAATAGCTTTCTTCAGTTACTTAATCTCTCTATATCATATGCTTAGTAGTCTAACATAGTAGTTTTGGCAGTGCATCTATTGTTTCTTTCAGGATTGAGTAGAGCTAGGTCTAAGGGATCGACGCGTTACTTGTTATTTAATTATATTAAAATAATATCTTTTGTTTTAGTTTGTCTTTATATTTTATTTTATATAAATTTAATCAAAATAAAGCCAACAACTGTAATTGTATCGGATATAACATTAGATTTATATAATAAACTTTATACTGAACATCATCAAACACTTTCATGTCCATGTTCAACAATAACAATACCTTATGAAAATATTACTTCGAACGATGTGACAATACATCCTGTTTGTTCAAGTATTTTCGTTGATCAAATATGGATAGAAGGATTATATTTTGAAGAAGCAAGTCAATATGGAGTTTGGGATTTTCGAACAACAGCATATTCACAAGTAAGTGTTTCTATTATCTATCAATCATCTAGATTTTTTTGTTTCTTTCTTTAGTTTGAATTTTTATCGAGTTTTTGTTCACTTTCAAATGAAGTCATTTCTCAAACTCTGACTGATATTGATCATAATGAACTTGTTTCTCTTTATCTTCTTTCTGAAGAACAAATTCGAATTGAAATCGATGGAAAAATTGAATATCTGAAGAATAGTGCAGCTTCTCGAATGATAACATTTCTGAATTATTTAAGAAACACAAGTAATACACATTATTTCGTTTCGGCTCTCAATACAAACTTTATAATCGAAACGTCAAGTGCGTCAAATGGATTTTCCATTTTTTTTGCACACGAAGTACTCATGTCTGATGATGATCCATACGGACCGAATTGTGAGGATACCGTACTGAAAATTAATGCTACTTTTAGTTCTCAATCCTACGAATCAATTGACTACAATAACAGATATGTAATGTCCCCAGTGCCTAATTCTAGTACGGTCACTGGATTCTTTGCAGCGTGTACTCCTGTTGAAGCAATTCTTGAAAGTACATTAGATTGTCTTTACGAAGTAGAGTGTCTTCACTTATTACTCAACTACTTTCCAAATCTAACAACAGTTTGCATCAAATCATTTCACATTTCTCTTAAATCTTCTTTCTATGTTTCTATTCTATTTAGATCAATTTCAATCCCCATGATTCAGTTTTATCTTCAGAACATGAAAATATATCAGTACATGAATATTTGGATAATCTTTTCATCAAAAATTGGTCAAAACAAATAAATTATACGAAATATTTTGATCTATGTTCTCCATCATCATGTTCATATTCAGCCGTAGAACGATCAAGCGTAGTTTATGCAATTACACTTTTTATCAGTCTCTATGGTGGTCTCATCATTATACTTCGTCTGATTGCATCATTTTCTATTGATATGTTTATGAAATGGAAATTTTGTATGAAAAGGAGAAATGACAATTCAGCAGGTAATTTATTCGTTTGAAATTATGTAATACATTATGAATATTTATTTAATTTCTAGTGGAACAAAGAATCAATCAATTCAAATTTGCCCAAACAATAAAAAGATTAAATTTATTTAAGAATATAAATGATCGAACAGAACAAAGTATTAAACATCAGAAGATGGTTACACGTGTCTATTTGATTTTATTATTTGGTAAAGTTTTGATAAATTTTTAGAAAAAAGAAATATCAATCTTATGATTCTATTTCATCTCTTTGTCATATGATAGGTTCAATATGTACTGTTTGTTTATTTACATCATTAAATAGTGAAAATGTAACAATAACTATAACGAACTTATCAATGACAACTTATAATGATTTTGAAGATCAACATTACAGTACACTTCGATGTCCATGTTCAAACAAAGCAATATCTTATAAAAATTTTCTCTCGTTATCGCCACGTTTACATCAAATATGTTCAAGTCATTTCGTTCATAATCATTGGATTAATATATTGAGATCCCGTCGCAAACATTTCCCTCTTAAGGATTGGCGTAGTCAACTATATTTACAGGTTCAGTTTTTGTCTGATTTTTGTCGTTTAGCTAATAAGACGATCGATGATGCCGTTATTCGATATCTTTCTCAATTGTTTATTGTTTCTTCTGTTATGCATGAAACTGAATTTAACAAACAAGTCAATGCAAGTCTCAATCAATTTTATCAATCAACAACTTATAATTTTGATGTGATGACGGATGTTTTACGACTCTTGATGCAGATAGATCAGCTATATATACAATCAGCGAGAATAATTTATGGACGAGTTAATGATGTTAATTTAATAAGCGAGGTGATGGCAGATGATGGAGACTCTACTCAACTAATCAAAGTATGTTATTAAGTTTCGCATGAAAAAAAGGTGCATTCAGAAATTTACGCCGTTAAGGCTCCCTAAAAAAAGTCAATTTTCGTGAGAAATTTCAAAATTCAGACAAATGTATGGTAGGATAGCATGTAGTCTATTCTTTATAAATGGTAATAGTTGTTCCTCAATAGCTGACTTTTCTCAAAAAACAATCTTTCAAGTTTGAAGTCTGTGATTAGGCATGTACCGAGCCCGAGCCTCTCTAGGCTCGATCAGGGCTCGGGACTCGGTCGGGGGTCAGTAGGCTCGGGACTAGTGGCGTATCTAAGGCCTGGCATTGCCAGGCTACCGGCATTGCTTGCCAGGCCACCGAGAAAAATTCTTACTAGGTACTTTATTTTTTTACTATATTGTCGATGAATTTAAATAAGAACCGTAAGGCATTGCCAGGCCACTAGTTACATCCTGGATACGCCACTACTCGAGGCTTGGTCAGGCTCGGGGCTCGAACTTGGTAGGTTCGAGGTTCGGTCAGGGTCGGGTGTCAGAAATCCACTACTACATCAATTCTGACACCCGAGCCCGACGGAGCTTCGAGCTTGACCGAGTCTCTCGGGCTCGGTACATCCCTATCTATGATCTTTTATATTTCATATTGAATTTTGAGAGAAAAATATACTATTTCGAATTAAAAGTAGGGAACTCCTAATATTCGAAAGAATAAAATAACGTTATTGATAAATACCAGGACTTTACTAAAAAATAGGAGTTTAGCCCCCTTAGCTCCCCAAGTCTCTTTAGTCACCCTAATCCCCTAGTTTCCTTAATCCCCTTAGCCTCACTAGTCTTCCTACTTCCCCTAGTCTTCTTAACTCTACTAGTTCCCTTCGTCTCTTTAGCCCCACTCCCACCTCATGGTTCATCTGTTAAAATAAACCATTACAATTCCTCTAGACAGACATGCCTGTAGAAAAGACACCATTTTGTAGGATTTTTTTGAATCATTGAACTTGTCAGTATTCACCTTCGCTGAAGAGTTATGAATTTAAACGAAGAGATCGTAAGATAGGGTAAATCTTAAGAGAAGCTTTCAAACTAAATCATATATATATATATATTTATGTATAATAAATATCCATAGAGATTTCTTGAATATAAAATGAGTTATTTTTTAACTGTTACTTGGCTCATATACCCGTCCAATGTTTATGTATCAAGTTGAAAATTTTACCATTGCCTCATCACTCCTGCCCCAAACTTATGCTCCAAATTTCGGCCCATTTGAATCTATGTGAGTTGAGATCCATTTTTCAAGCGAAGAGTTCTTTAAAACTGATACCATTTGTGCTCATTTTCGAAGATAAAAAAGTTTTTTTTACATATTTAAAAAAAATTGAAATCACAATGTCAATCAGAGCGATCATATTTTATTAAGGATATATTCTTCGGATTATAATAACAGAGGGTGAATGTAAGCTAAAGTATTTTTCTCGTTCACGTTTAACCTAACCTTTCACCCTCTCCATCATATGAAGCGTTCGTAAACATCCTTTGTAACACCTCCATACATTTTTTGTGGTTTACACACTTAGTGGCATTTCAATTATATACATTCGAAATTCATATAAAAATAGAATTCTTTTCATTTAATTACTGTCGACGTATAAAACTGAACTTTCACTATTTTATTTATAGTATCACTTTCTGTTAAATGAAATTCAGCAAATCAATTCAACAATGAGCAAATGTGTTTGTGCCATAAACCCATATTGTCAAACACCATATGTTGTATCTGATCCTGGTTTCAACGCTTATAAAAATCTGGTTTACGACGTACCAGGTTCGATTCGACGATGTCTGCCTATTGATTCTCTTCTTTCTTCATCACTTGAATGTTTATATGAAGATTATGGTTGCTTTCCATTATTGATAGCCTCTTTTTACGAAACATTGGGTCAACAAAATTATAATCCATCCTTAACATTTGATTTTGGTCCATTGATCTATAATCCAGCAACGACTCTATTTCCTCCAAATGCAACTGTTTCAAGCATGTTTAAAGAAATGATGGTCGAACAATGGAATCCATCCATGTCTTATAGATCATTTTTTGAATCATGTGCACCTACTTATTGTACTTATTCTCAAAGAATGCGTACAGAAAATTTTCTTGGAGTGATCGTAACAATAATATCAATGATTGGCGGTCTTATACTTTCATTACGAATTGTGACACCTTATCTTGTTAAAATTATTGTTGGATTAATGAAAAAACTTAAGAAAAAAAGACAACGAACAGAACGAGGTAAGTTTGATTAAATCTTTATTGAGAAACTTCACAATTGATTATGATTAAGTTTTTCATTGAAAGTATAGGAACCGTATGTTTCAATGTTTTTTCTTGTTTTTTTTTTAATATTTTTTAGTTCATCAAAGTTATTTCAATCGAATCAAAATCATAATACAAAATATGATCAAACTTTTGTCAAAAACATTAATTGAATTAAATATCTTTTCATCATCTGATTTTGAAAGTAGTATTGACCGACTAACAGCTACATATTATGGTCGATGGGCAACACGTTTCTACATTCTGTTGTTTCTTAGTACTTTCACGATACTTATCTTTTATACAATGATTCAACCACATAGCGTAACAAAAACATTTGATCAGCTATCATTTAATTCTTATCAGCAATTACGAAAAATTTATGGAAACAAATTAAAATGTTCATGTTCGCAAATAGCATCAACGTATAATAAATTTGTTGAAATTATACCAGAATTTCATCCTGTAAGTTAAAATTTAATTATTTTAGAAAGAAACAATATAGTTTTCTTCAATATGAAGAATAACTGTAATCATATGTTTCTGATTGTATAGATTCATTGAAGATTTTCTTTTTTTTTCTTCATAGATTTGTTCAAGTCAATTCGTATCGAAAGAATGGCATATGGGTATAATAAATAGTCTTGCTTCAAATTTCTCTCTATATTCAAAAAATGATTATCGTCGATTTATTTCTTCTCATCTACAATATCTTCAAGGACTATGTCAAATCTCAAAAGATTCAGTTGATAATGCTATTAATGAATTTCTTACATCATTATTAGTTACTGTTGAACTTCTTTCCAAAGAAAATTTTCATCATCGTATTGAAATCTTAATTGAACAAAGTAAATCCAATGTTCCTTTCTTAGTTTCTCGTTTTCTCGCCACGATCCAAACTTTTAATCATGGAAATGCTTTTATGACAACATATGGGACAAATTTTCAATATGTTTCTCGGATATCTGATTCTTATGCACATACAAATGCAATGATTTATGATGATAATTGTTCATGTGGATTATCTTCAAATTGTACAACACAAGCTAATTTTATTGAAAAATCAACAATAATTCCAATTGTAGGATTAAAAATGGGATGTTTACCAAGTGAATCATTTCGATTATCAACTCTTGAATGTTTTTATAATCAATCATGTCTTGATCTTGTTCATAAATATACAAATTATCAAAATTCTTCAATTGCTCTTTCAACAAATCTTAGTTATTTTCCACCAAATTCAACTATTAATGAATTGATAAATCATGCATTCACTGAACAATGGTTAAAAAATATAACTTATTCTTCATATTATGATGAATGTTTCCCTTCAGTGTGTTCATATACTTATATTGAAAAGTTTAATATTCTATATCTCATAACTCTATTTCTTAGTCTTCAAGGTGGTTTAACATTAGTTTTGGCATGGATTTGTCCAAAAATAATTCAAAATGTATCAAAAATCTATCATTATTATCGTAGAAGAAGACAAAGAACATCAGTTTATCCACATAATTCACTTTCAATGTCATCAAATGATTTTAATATTCAAAATACAAATAATAATGCTGATAATCAAACAGAACAGAACAGAACATTTGAGTAAATCATTAATGTTTTTACTTTCTATTCTAATATTAAATTTATTTTGTTTAGACAAAGAATTAGTTCACCAAGTCGACGTTACTCGAAGAGAATTTTGATAATCTCATTATTAATATTGTTAATCATTAGTATAATTATCTTTTCAATTTATTATGCACGAAATGGTAAAAAATTTCTTCTCTTCTATGAAAGGATGAGTATAGAAAAGGAAGAGTGCCATGTTTGTTTGATCAGTTTTTTTGATCAATCAGATTTTATGATGGGAAACTAGAATTTTTAGTGTATATGTGTATAAGGCTTATTTGTAAGACCTAGATGGATGGAAGTGTTGGCTTAAGTTATTTAAGTATTGATGGCCAAATCTATACTCTCTCTTAGAAGACCACTTGTGTATGAAAATGTAATTGATATGTGTAGAAAACAAGATCTAATGGCGATCTCGTTGAGTTGAAAATATATAAGTTCCTCTTCATCAGATATTTAATAGAAAAGTGGGTGTGGGTGTGCGTATAGATGTAGATAAACGAAAACACTTACACCCGCACACGCTCACACCCACATTTACACCCGCATCGACCCACACCCTAATTATTAAAATATTTGTTGTTTTCTTAATAGTTTCAATGAAAAATAAAACAATGGATAGAACTTTGAATACAACAATAACAAGTACAACTACAATGATGTCAATATCTTCCATTACAACAGGTTAGTGTAATCTGTTCAAATTAGATATGATTTCCTTCTATAGATACACTCACGAAAAACTATTTTATATAAAGGAGCTGAATAGATAGAAAGATGCTTGAGATTAATGTATAGATACTAATAGGTCATCTTTTAAAGTGTAAAATGAAAATACGAATGACGAAAATAATCTATGAAATTATATCCGATCAGAGTCCTTTTTTTTTCTTAGAACCGCTTTGTCAAGATAAATTTCAACAACAAATATCAACCAATATTTCTTGTTCTGAACATGATGAGAACAACTTTCAAATTGCTACTGGTGATTTTAACAATGATAATCGAGTTGATCTCGTATATTCTTGCAGATCTAATCAAAATGAAGAGATAATTGTATTAATGAATAATGGCAATGGAACATTTCATAATTCATCAGTTTTATTATTGTCAAGATCTGATTGGATAACTCATATTTATGCTGTTGATTTTAATAATGATAATCGATCGGATGTGTTTTTAATACATGGATCTAATCTTATAATTTTATTGAGCACTGATAATGAAACATTTGAATATCGAACGGAATTGACAAATAAATATATTAGCTCGATAAATGAAGTTCATATTGCCGATTTTAATAATGATAACCAATCTGATGTGCTTTTAATACGTAATACAGAACCAATGGAAAATCTAATCGTTTTCTTGGGAAATGATAATGGAGCATTTCAAACACAAATTATGGTATCATCTACAAAAATTAGTAAAGCGATAAATACTGCAGTCGTATACGATCTTAATAATGATAAAATATTAGATATTGTTATAAGCTTTACACAGTTCGAGAAGAACGTTTGTATCATCTATGGACGGGGAAATGGAAGTTTTTCATCAGGAATTTTATTATTCGAAAGAAACATGATTTATGCAGTCACCTTAGCTGTGGCAAATATTAACAATGATCATTATGCTGATATAGTTATATATGATGAAGACTCTAAACATTTTTATGTATTATTTGGAAGTGCAAATGAAACATTTCAAATACAAAAGCCATTTTTCACTGCTATTATCTCTTTCCCTTATTTTCTATTTATCGATGATTTTGATAATGACAATCAATCTGATATCGCTTTTCTTTATAGTCTATACGATTTTGAATACAAGATATATCATTACCATAATAATAGTTTTAAGAGAAATGAAAAAACTGTCATTAAATCGCTGGGAGGATTGGATACAGTTATTGTTCGTGATATTAATAATGATAATTATTTAGATATTATCCTTGGCACTGTTGGTCCTAATAAGATTTATGTTTTATTTGGATATGGAAATGATCGTTTTTATTCACATATGGTTTATTCGGGTGAACACCAGCTTTTTTCCTCTTGGTTAACTGTTGGTGATTTTAATAATGATAATTTTCAAGATATAGTTAGTGCTAATTATGACACTATGCTTATTGATGTTTTCTTATATAAACGTGAATGTTCCATTGCCTAAGAAGATTCAAAGATACATTTTATGTATTATTCAGTTCATTTCTTTTAAATGTGCTCATTAAATAAAAAAAACATTGATATCCTATAAATTTTTAATGCTGTTTATCTTGCTTCTCTTCTTGCATTATGACGAAAGGACGGTGAATAAAATTCTTGATAAATCAAATAAAAGTCATCTAGTTAAACATTTCTATAACATATTTTTATTATTGAATTTGCTCCTGGTGAGTATTAATCTTGAGGGTGTGGGTGTAGGTGTTTTCGTTGATCTACGCCTACATCCGCGCCCACACCCACTCATTTATTCTTGTTTTATCTATTTTTTTAATGGTTTTTCAATGGTTAGTAGTTGCCAAGAAAATAATTTCCGTTGTAAACAAGTTAGTGAAACATGTGATGAACAAAATAATATTTGCTGTAATGGAACACAATATGGACAATGAGATCATATATATTGTGTATTAGCGGGTGAACAAACTCAATCACAAAAATAGATGTATATAAATAAACATAATTATTTTTTGATTCAAGATTATCAAAGTGAGAGAAGGATTATTCATGAATCTTTTCGCAATGATTCGATTTTTATAGAAAGTAGCTTTAATATATTCATTTTTATGTATGTTTATTCTCGATAAGTTGGTCTTTTCAGGAATGCCTATTTAATTTAAAAGCAAAGATATGATACAAAGCATACAGTCATGTCATAGTTTTTTGAAAAAAATCTTTTTTTCCCTTTAGGATACAATAAGAAATAAAGAAAACATGTTTCTCTTGATAAAATTTTGATCATTTTTATAAATAACTTTTTGTTGGAATATCTTTTTCCACCTTTATTATAGACAAATCATCCATTTCAATGTCTTGAATTTTTGACGATGATCGACGCAGACGATCGAATACTGTACGGAACACTGGAATGAACAATAATTTGATGAGAAGAAAGATTAAACCAAACACTTCTAATACGACAATTGTGAAAAGAAGACTATGAAACATAACTTCAGTTTGTCTAGCGATAGGTTGTTGTAAATTACCAATATAAAATATATTTTGTTCAATTGTAACACTAATATTTGTCGTTGTTCGATAGAAGAATGTATATTGACTCTCATTAGTAAAGAGTTGAGCTGAATTAACAGTTAATGATGATGACCAAATACCACTAAATTTAGATACGTCATTACTATTTAATGGATCGGTTTGATTAACAATTTGAGTTAATTCAATAGGAAATGTCATCGATTCAGCAAGGACTTGATCAAGTGATGATGAAACAAATGTCGAGGCAAAATTCAAAGCCATCAATATGAATCTTTTCAATTAAAGAAAATAAAACAATCAATATTTTTTTTAGATGAACAAATATACCTTCCATTTTCATCTTCTGCCGCAGGTCCACTTAAACCAATTCGAATGGCTCCAACTGTATTTAATCCTGGCAAAACCAATCGAACACTAATCACTTGAGCTGGTAGTAAAATAGTCAAGCTGAGAATAGTACCATTATACTTTGTTTGACATTTAGTAATTGGTATAAGAGTGGTTTCATAACCATCAAAACGTTCTACATAGAATTGATCATCACAAGTAAATGCTGTTTGAACAAGATCAATATTAAGTGTAAATGGTTGTGCATTTAATAAATCAAACATTGGTTGACTTTCTTTTGTTGAACGACGAGGATCCCATCTCTGTTGTGTTGTTGTACTAAATTTCGCATTGCGTAAAGTAACATCACATGCAAAAGTACTATTGTGAGTAATATCTTCAATTGGATATTGCTGGAGAAAAGAATTCGAAAAACTATATGCTGACACAACAAGTACAATTATTGCAGCTGAGATCAGACCACCGATCCACATCTAAACAAGAAATATATTTTTAACAGATTTCAAAAATTCAATGAAACAATACCTCTCCTTCACCGATGAGATCAATTTTTCTAAATATTTTCTTGACATTATCTTGCATTGAGTGATGCTGAGGATAAAATGCTTCGGAAATTGTCAGAAAAAGTGCTACAAATAAGCCAATTACCATGACGAGAACGACCCAAACAAGAGGTGAGACGAGCAAACAATGCACTGAGTTCACGTTGAATGCGAACATATTTTGCATAAGTATATCATCGAAAACAATATTTTCAGGTGATTCAGGATATTCTTGAATTTGTTCAATGGATTCAAAGGCGGAATATAAAACTTCACCAACTGCTCCATATGGACAGAATCCGTCTTCTGAACAGTTCATTGATGATGATGAATAAGGAGAACACAGTTCAATTCCAGCATAAGTTCGATTTGTACCACGATTACAAGGAATAGAACTGGTTGCATAAACATCTATGTTTGTATTTGGATAGTAACCTGGAGGTGCGACAAGAATACCAACACCATTGCTCAAACTATCTAAAATACCCAAATTACCAGAAGATGAACAAGTGAGCCGAATTAAAGATTCAGCCATCATTTGTAAAAGAACTTGTTGGCTATTTGGATAGACAAAAATCGGTTGTGTTGAATCAGAGAATCCATCAGATTGAATATTATAGACATGCACTGCTGATGAAACCCATTCATAAGTTGAATACGTATAAGTATTGGCTAGAATCACTGCTTTCTCACCTGTTTCATCTAGCCATGCAACACTTTTCCCAAAGCCCATAAATCCCACTCCATTCTGCCGAGTACTAATTGGATTGTGAGTATCATTTAACGAATACAATAAAACTGTATTCAGTGATTGAATACCAATAAGTACCTGTTGAGTATTCCAACAAATACTCACTGACATGACTGACTGTGCTGTATAAGTCTGGCTGTTGGCCATGTAACGAATGATACGTGGATCATTCCATGAATAGTGCAAGACGTTTGCAATATTAAATTTGCTTATACTGTACGGAGACGATAAGGATGTATTTAATCGAATATAAAAACCACATTCGACAGCTGATGTTGGTGTTGATTGACAATATCCAGCTACAACAGCATAATCTTGATTTGAACCAATATGCATTCCTCGAGGAGAAATACCGATTGTATTTGGCCAAACGAACAATTCAAATGTTGGATATAATTGATAAAAACATATAAAATTATCAGCAATACTATATACACCTGTACCTTGCCCATCGATAGCAATGAGAAAATTATCTTGTGTTGAATAGTTAGATACAATTTGTTCATCGTCCAAATGAAATGATGCACAAGTACCATTGCTAGTGAAAACACCAATAACATTATTTCCTTGAATATCAATACAATTGTAGACAAACGAAATATTGTTTGTACGTGGAACAACAACACTGTAAACAAAATCACATGTTGTCAAATTATATGGAATTTGACAACTGGAACTGTTACTGTGTGGAAATAGTTCGACGTACCATACTAAGAACAAGTTGTCAACACAAACTAAAAATTGATCATTTATGCCAATTTTAATTCCATAAAGATCATAATCATAAGGTACTTTTGTGTACATTACTACGGTATGGATGAAAAGAAAAAAGAGACATATTCTGATAGACGACATAACAACCAACCGACAAGTTGTAATGTTTTCTAATGATCTACTTCTCCGTTGTTAATGCCAGTTGAATATGTTGTAAGGAAAGAAAAAAAGAAGTGTTTCAACGATGACGTTAATGGGAATTTCATTTCTAAATTGCAATATAATAATGAATATCGGATATATTTTGTCACTCATCTTTTTTGCTTTCTGAATGCATCTAAAAGAATTTAGTGAGATGTCACTCAACGAGGAAGTAATATCTGAAGAATATATTCTTGATTAAAAACACTTGCATTTATTAAAAAAATATAATTATCTAAGAAATAAATGAAATGTAGAATAAATGTAATTAAAATCTTGTTTTTTTTCTTCTATTACTTGTCATTAATAACAACTTCGCTTGAATAATAAATTCATGAATCTATTCCAAATGTCTATATACTTTAGGGTCCTGCGAGAACGATTTGTTTTCATTCCCGTTTCCCGTTCCCGTTCCCGAAAGAAAATTTTATTGTTCCCGTTTCCCGTTCCCGTAGTCCCGTTCCCGAAAGCAATAATGAAAAAATAACATCTTTGTACACTAGCTTCTTGCGACACCTTACAGTGTTCAGTAAAGTAAACATGATATGAAAGTAAAGCTAAACTTATGACTGGAACGTCGATTGGCTAAAAATTCTCTATATGAAAGCTAATTGTGCAGACATATATAAATGTATAGGAATCAAGATAAGATAATTTACGGGAACATGAACTTTTGATGTCGTTCCCGTTCCCGCAGGACCCTAATATACTTACTAATAGAACTCATGTATAAAGATCTACTGTATGAAATCATAAAAATAACAATAGTAAAATCATGAGATTTAATTCAATATCAAAGTCAATTTATTATTGATGACAAGTAATAATTATTCTACATTTTCATTTATTTATTAGATATTGAATTAAATCCGAATAAAAAAATAAAAATAATTTTTTGTTATATATGAGTGAGTTGCAAAATCATTGTATGATTGATGAAAAAAAATGAAAGCGAGTTTAGAGAGAGTCCGTACCGTAGATATTGTTCTCCGTCATTTCCTGAGTATCTTGTAAAAATTTCTCAACTAAAGGATGCAAACTAACTGAGAACTTCGGGTCCAAAAGTCCGAATTTTGATGTATAAAGTTTAGTATAAAAGGATTTTCTGAAATTAAAACAAAGGCGTAAATATTGTACATGAAATGATAACTCTCGATGAGATCTACATATCGCATCATCATACTCTGCTTGTTTCTTTGATGTAAGAGTCATTATATCTGAAATCGACGTAAAAACTCGGTTCAATACATAAGCACATTTTCGTGCCTGGGTATCGTGCTATTAAAAGGTTTTACTTTATTTATCGCTAAATCTAATTAAGCATGATCTAAGGAGTCAAATAACATATAAGAAGCCTATTTGAGGGTGTGGGTGTGAGCTAAGAGGAGAAACATAATCACACCCTTTCTACGTATGTTTGTTTTATAAGAAAAACTTGTGTAAAAATTGGTGCGTAGTCATATATCGTTAGTTAATTAAAAGATTTCAGTTTATCGAATGTCTTTTCTGAAAATATTTTACGTTTGTCTTCTTCATTTCTGCCAATCATATATTTCAAGGACATCATTGGTACTGTTCGCTACTTTTTTTCGAAGAAAAATTAAATTATTCTGTACAGCAATATCAGTGACATTTGATAATAGAACAATATTTTGATCGTATCGTTTCCCATCGTTATCAAGTACATAACAGCAGTGTTTGTTTTCTCCGCAAAAAAAGAATAACCAACCACATTCATTCGATAAAGAAATTAAACGCATTCTGTCAGGCGACTTATTATAATCTGTTTGCATACAGTAAAGAGTTGACATGCCATGGCTTCTTAGATGAAAATAAAGCACCGGCGCTCGTGATTGATAATCATATGTTTCAATCAAAAGTGCGTAATATAGATCATTCATTCGAATACATTTAATCTTGTCTTGTGGGTTACATGAAATCGGTGGAGACCACCCAGTATAAGACTGCTCATTAGTGTGCCAATCAGGGTCATTTGCTAACCACTTTTCAATTCTATCACCAACAACGAGTAAAACATGCTCTTTAAAACATGTTAACGTTTTATAATCGCGAGACCAAGAAGACTGCAAATTGGCTGATTTTGCCCAAATCTCTTTAGTATTTCCGGAATATGGATCAGATTGGTATAATTCATTTGGCCGGAAGTTTTGACCACTGGGCAGTAGTACTAAAAATTGTTGTAAACAACTGGACCAATGTAATTCAATAGCTTCAGAAACTCCACGCAGACTATTCCACGATTTTTTAACTATATTTAAAGTAGGCAATTCACGTCCATAAGAAAAAGCAATCAATTGATCACTAATTGGGTGCATTTGACCAAGTGCTCCGGGTGAAAGATGAATGGATACTTTTGGTTTCTGTGATGTAAGTAGAAGATCAACAAAGTAACAAGGGGCAGCAGTATGTGACACCGGTTGCGTGAGTGGTTTGACGACGATCAGTTCATGTGAAATTTTCTTGATACTAAGTTCAACAGGAAAATGTTCTATGTCATGTTGGAGTTGCTGGAGTTTATTGATTAATTGATTAATATCATTTTCGAAATAATTTTCATTTTCCCGCAGTGTATCTATTACACTTGATAACATCGCGAATTGCTTCAGTAGTTTGTCACCTTCCTTTAAAGCGATTTCCTGCAAACGTTGGCGTGCATATGCAGCTGATTGTTTAATTAGTTCAGTTGTATCTAATTCCCATTTATTGATCATCTCCACCTGTACTTTGATATTATCAGACCACTGTTGCTCGTTGCAAGTTGAAATTTTCTCTTGCAATACATTTCTTTCGTTCAGAACTGTATTCTCAAGTAAATTCGTTAAATCCTGTCGATGTTTTACAATATGTTGAGAACAGAAGTGTTTCTGACAGCCTGTGCATAATAAAATACCTGGTTTTGGCTTTACTTCGGAGCTAAGTGTCTCACACGTAGCACAAAGAATAGTTGAAGAAGCACAAGCCATTATTTTTCTTGAGAAAAATATGTGCTTTTTGATGCGATTTTATTTGTTTTTGAGTGAAATGTGACTAGAAGTGCACGAGCAGAGAGAAAAAAATACATCATTTTTCTCTCGAAGAGAAAAAAAAGAATTCATTATAAAATAACATTCGATTCTTATAGCATTTCTATGACGATGACTGGTTACTTTTCTTTCTTTGTAGCTCACTCTGTTTATTGTTACATTCTGAAATGTTTACAAAGTGTATCGTAATGCATTCACAGTTCTTTTATACTAACCAAGTGAAGATCTAAACACTGAGGCTTACATTAGAAAAATCTGGGTGTAGACATAGGCGAGCAAAGAATGCAATATCCACACCCACGCTATTCTTTTTTTCCTATTGTAAATATGTTTCTATGTTGATTTTGTCACCTTAAGAGTAAAGAGGACGGTATAATACTTATATCATATTCCCACCGACGTCTTCACAAAAAACACAAATTGAGTTCGTCCACATAATGTCGTTATTTGAAACTTTTTAGAAAATCCAGTGTCTTTATTTTGTTAATGATGGTATTAATAAAAAAGTGAAAAAGAAAATGTTTTTGTTGTTAGATTAAATAATTACAAGTGTATAGTAATACAGAAAAAGAGATTGAAATTTACAGTTATTATTGTTCTTTCGATTGATTCGTATTGCTGACATCAGATGAATTATCAGTCCATGCCTACAAAAAGAAGAGTTTCTACCTTAAAAATATCTTATCGCATGAATACTTACAATGAGATTGTCTCGGAGTGACTGCATGATTATAATGCTGTCTAAAAACGAATCGGAAAAATATTAATTTTACTATTAATTTTTCTCTTACCTCTATAGGAATCATCTTCAAGAGAATCTGATCCGGTCAAAGCCTCGTCGAGGGCCTATTATGTAAATATTCAAACGTGTAAAGAAATGAAATAGATCAGCTCGAGCAAACCTGTATGGCTATACGACAAGCAGCATCTGTATTATTGAGAATTTCGTAGAAAAAAACGGAAAAACTCTGAGCAAGACCAAGTCGAATTGGATGTGTTACTGACATTTGATTTTTGGCGATATCAAAGGCATTCGTATAGGCATGTCCTGATTCTCCAGCGAATTCTAGAATTAATATCAATGTACATATTTATGTTCGAGTAGAACATTTTCTATACTACTTTGCCGTTCGCTACCAGTGGTGACTTCAGTCAAATATCGATAATAATCACCTTTCGTCTTTAAATAGACTATCTTCGATTCAGTAGTTGTTGCTTTTGGAATGAGATATTTATCAAGTAATATCTAAATTGATAAATTTCTATTTCTAAAACGATCCTTAATTGAATAAGTCCTACACAAAGTTCTTGACATATATCTTTCAATTCGTTTTCAATCTTTTCTCGATATTCTTTAGTCATTTTTCGTTGACGTTCGGAGCCGCTGCCTTTCTGTTCAATGATTGATATAATTCGCCAAGATAATCGACAAGCACTAACTGTATGTTTGTAGGCAATTAAGAGCAAATCGCGTTCTTCAGTCGTCAATTCATCATTGAATTTAACAACCTTTTTCATAGCAATTACCATATCAGTATATCTAAATCAACACTTACATTACGAGATCAACTATATTTACTTTAAGAACCAATACTGTACCGTTCAGCTTGTTCAGCTAATTTCGCTAGTTGTACTAGTTCATCCTTGTTTGCCATCATTCAATATAGTTTACCGTGATTGGTTGTCCGGTGAAGACTTACTTCACTAATACAAATGTGTAAATACTAGTTGAAAGAGGTGCTCAAGTATGTATACATTACTTCCTAGATACTTCCTCCCTTTTTGAGTTATAACTTTATAACGCATATTTGGATATGACGTCATACAATATCCAACAAGGAAACGTGTGTTAAGTATTGTACAAAAGAAAAACGATTGCTTGATTAGTCATCCATATCTACAGAACGAACATCGGACGGAGCGCAAAGTATATTGTGCGATGCAGCGTCATTACTTAGTAACTGACTACGATAAATTTTATTTTAATATATAACGAAAGAGGGCGACAGTGTAACATGCTTTTGTGATGGAATATTGTTATCATATAATAATTCGACATGATTGAATATACTATTTCAGAAAGGTAACTATCATAAGAAGTTCGCTCTTCTTAATATGAATCATTCATGATACGTATAAGTCAAACCTAATATTCATACTAGCTAGAAGTAATCGAACGAATATAAATAATAAGTATCTATCTAAGTGCTAAGTAATTTTAAATAAAAACGAAGTAAAAAATTCCAATTTTTCTAGGTAGTTTACTGAACACAAGTTTAAGTAAGGGCGTGAGGGTGGATGAATGTAATGAACAAATTCCTCTTAATCATCAATTTAAATCAAATGTGATCAAAACAGAAGCTAAATTATTCACTATTGAATTATGAGCTGGTATAACGATATCTATAATTCGAGAGGAACGTGAAAATGTATTCATAGATAAACGATGAACTGTGCATTTAGTGCGAATTAATCTATTAGCAGAACAGTCAATGTTAATTCCTGTATTATCAAATGAGTAGATGGTTCAATACACATGCAGTTTCGAGTTGATGATATTAATTCAATGGAATCTAAAATATAGGATTAAATATTAATACAATTATTTTGAATTATCAGTTATGAATAAAACCGCAGATAGTGGACAACTTCTAAATTTATTGGGAGAAGTCAGTAGATGTGACTTCCCCATAGCTTCACTCGAAATCAGTTTATTCGCTCTTGGTTTTGGACTATGTTTGAGATTTATTTGAATAAAGAATTTATGGCTTATCATCAAATTTCTTATCTCGTTTTTCTATTAAGGTGTTGTATAACAGCTTATTACTTAATCCGGATAAATAAAATGTCTCTGCTTTATCAATAAATTTATCAGAAATTTTATTATTTTTCAACGTTATCATGTATATCTAACATTCTTAAGATAATCTTACTAATCTCGAGTGGAAATATTGTAAAAAATAAAGCATAGGAGCAGTGTTTCTATACTTTTTTTTATTATTTATTATGCGTCACGATAAGAATTTCATCGAAAAATAGGCATAAATTACGAATGTATAAATAGGTAGGGGTATGGTTATTCGTTGATAATAAAAATTATTACAATGAAGAATACAGTTCGAATGTATTGTTACTTTGTATTTATGTTTTTAATTTCAAAATGTAATGGAAATCCAAATTTACCAATGAATACAATTCAAATTCCTTCAACTCGAATGAATAATAATTTTATTCGATCTGAGAGATATTACATCAAACAGCAGGTCCCAAGGGTCTTTCCAATTCAAGGTCCATCCCAAACTTTTGTTAAGGTATCTGGTCTAACAATGCCTTTCCATCATACAGAACCATTATTATATAAAATTAAATATGAAGGAAGATGTCTTTCGTCTTATTTTAACTCAACTTGGCTACATTTACGTTTTATGATTAATGACAATTTGCTTTATTTAGATAAATTTCTACCAAATACAGCTAATCGGTATCAATATAATACTGGATATAGTGAAAATGATAGTCTTGATTATATTGGTGGTTTGTATTGGTTCGTTAATACACCAACAGTGACACAATGTTCATTTAGTGATATTATCTATTTAAATCCTGGTTTACATGTCATTGATGTAGCTGTTCGAGGTGGACATGCTCGTGGTGCTTTTCCAACCTATGTTGTTGGTGGAGCTTTGACAATTGAATTAGTTGAATATGATTTGTACGCAGATATTGGTATGAAACCGATCGATGCTAAACCGATCGATGCTAATTTAATACCAAATTCTATCGGATAATTCATTCGAAAACTAATTAATAAAATGTTTTTTTTATTACTCACGAAATATTCATTATTTTTAAATAAATAAAAGAGAATTATTGATATGACTCTCAAATTCCTAAAAAGATTGATTTAAATTTACTATGTAATTCTGAAAGTATGAATGAATAAAAGAAGTTTTTCTTGTAACCAGTTAATCAACTATATTGCACCAAGCTCGATCGTTCGTTGACTAGTGTCTACCACAATTATGATTTAATTGATCAAGATTCATTATAGACACAACGAGATATTCTGAGTCGAATAAGAAAAGATTGCTACTGCTATATATGAGTTACGTACAGTTACATTCTTATCTGTCAGTAATAGAAATAAATTCTTAGTATCGAACATACATATGAATGATAGTATAAAAGAAAGATATGCTCAACAAAGCAGACAATGTAAGAAGAGTAAATGTAATTGCTAAATAATCTTCATCAGGGCCTAGTATGACTTAAGCTAAACCTAATTAATTGAATAAAAATGATTCATTGGAAGAAAGATGGAAAGCCTTTTCGTAAATGGACGGTCGTAATTGTCTCAATAGAAGATTATATCTTGTTAATATTTCTACATTAAAATCAGTTACATTTACAGCATAGTTTTGTTTGAATTCTGTATTTCTTCGACACGACATTTCGTCAACAAAATCAACTCATCCGTAATCATAGAAAGCATAAGTAAGTTTAACAGAATTTAAGTATGAGTGTAGGGATGGATATAATTAATTATCAAACACGCATTCACACCTACACTATCCATTGTAATCATTCGAATAAGATTGCGTAAAGGAAAAAAGGTTTCATAGAAATTTATTAGATTAATGAATTTTTTAACAAGTTAACTCAAATAGATGGGTTTGGGTTCAGCAATCATGGGCGCAAAGACCCACACCCTACTGATACTATCTATGCAATGACAACACTTGAGTAGTTTATAAACAACGTTGGACACGGACGAAAGCTTGTTTGATCATGGATAGGAACTCTTTTCGAAATGTGTTTGAGGCTAATGTGTACACGATGAATGTTAGCTAAACAAAAAGAAAAAAAAAGCATTTAAAATCTCTTTCAAATTATCAATACTTCAATAGAGCCGTTTCTGTATATTTAGAGCACAATAATGAAAATACTTTTAGTTACATTGAACCTAAGTTTTTGTATTTTTGACACCTTTTGATTCTGACAAAACCCAGTCAACATATTCAGATCCTATGATTATTCAATGCTATTACTCTGTCGGAGTTTCTAACGTTTCCGGAAAATGAAAAATGTAAAACCTACCGCTGCATAAGTGTGCATAAGACAGACACCTAAATTGCTAATAAATAGAATAATGGCTTGTTGATCGGCACTTTTAATTTGCCAACTTGTCGCAAATGTGTAGAGTGGTAAGCTTGACGTCATGGAATTGAGAAGGATGAAAAAAGTAATTTGCAGAAAGGACAATCGAATAAATTGAGATTCTTTTTTGATTTTATGTCGTTGTTGTTGCTGCAGATTTTGACAAGTAGACCCAGTGACCGTTTTTGTTATTGGCTCCGGATGAACGGCTCGACCTAGTTGACGTATATTTTGTAGTGTCACAATACTGAAGACAACCATTATTAAGAATGGAACAACAGAAATGACAATAGCATAAATAGAATAAAATAGCTGATAGTTACTTCGTGGCGGTGGGATGCATCCGATAGCCGGAATACTCTGATAACCACTTGGAACATGAATGGTAAATAGCATCCAAAAGATAAAACTTAGTGAGATCAACCGTCGAGCTATTTTAGGAGAACTCTTTTGACGAAGCCACACCCACTTTGATGTTACCATCCAACGATCTAATGAAATAAGGCACAAAAAATGACGTGCAAGAACAATACTGAAGACAAAACCGTACGCTCGAAATTTGCATAGAGATGGTGTTGTTCGTGCTAAATCGTAGCCCATATTTATACCCATTGTAATGATACGATTGATACCATCGAACAAAAGCAGCAGAATTTGACTAATAGATAAGCAAATGAAATACCATGAACAAATATTTGAACGAAGGTTGCTTCGCGAAAAAACCAATATATTAACTGTATTGCCTACGAGTGCCACAAAAACAATTGGTGGCAAATAATATGCACAAAGTTGATTTTGCAATAAGTTAAGTTGATCGCTCAAACTACGGGTAGTCATATCTATAATCGAACAAAGAGAGAGTGAAATAGTTTTCTCTAAACAACACGTTTACATTATGAGCAAGAAATATAAAACATATGAAAGTTAATTTCGCATGAACTGTCAATGTTCACATAGGTGGAGGGCTATAGCAACATAGTTGGTATCTGACGATGACATGTTAACAACTCAGCAGACTTCTAATCAACAAGAGTGTCACATACAGAATATGTTTAGAAGACATTTTGGTATTAAGCACTTAAAATGAAAAGATAAGATCGCTAGTTGCACTTGAGATGCCGCAGATTAAATCTGCACTTCAGAAAACTCAAAACACAATCTCATTGACAATTTCGATTTTAGTCTTACAACTATGTTTCATATGAGTGTTCTAGAAATTTAATCTCAAAGATAAACTGTCCATTGACGCGAATGATATTTTGTCTCCAGTTAAATAAGATCGAGATGAACATAAGTAACTCTTCACGGGAAAGATAAGAGGACTACGCATTGACGATAGAGTATAATGGCCGAGAAAGACATACAATAGCAGTAATATATAGTTTTGATGTCCTCTCTTTCTCGATTCAACCGGCTCACCTCAGGCCATATTAAGTCAGATACAGGCGTCAAATAATTTCCAATGAGAGAAAAAGAAAAATCTGGAGAAGACGGCTGCATTCGTTGTTGGAAAAGAAAAGTAAAAAAGTCTATTAGTCTTTAATTAATCGGTGAGTATTTAGAGAGTTTTTTTTCTCTCCTATCTCCATCAATCTGCTACTGACAGATCAATATGTGAAACGAGAAAATAAGTTTTCGAAAAGCTAAAATAATTAACTCATTTTCTCCTTTTTTTCGAAAATGATCGATAGAAATTTATAAAATAGTCAATAGCATTGTCATAACTTTTATTTAATTATAAGTAATATAATTTTAATTTAAAAAAAAAAGAATTCTTACATAAGTAATTCTTTTTTATTCGAGTATAAAATATCTTAGTTTTAAAAATTAAATTTAAATAAAAATTTTTCATTTAAATCATTAATTGTTAATACTTTTTTCTCAGATTTTTCTAAAATTAATGCTGTTTTCGAATCAGGATCAACCGCTATATAATATTCCGGAATATTTATTGATTCAAATGCAACCATATTTTTTTCTTCATTCATAATTAATTTAAATGTTGCATCTTGTTTAAATAAAGTTAATTGATTATTTTTTGCTAATGTAACTCGTCCATTGACATGACGTAAATATATATTATTTTCTGAATATGATGAAAATGATATAAATATATCTGTTGAATTTGTTTCATATGTATTTTGTTCTAAACCATCACGTATTAAAAATAAACTTCGATCAATTTCTGTCATTGTTATTGATGTTTGTTCAACATCCGCATCAAGTATGAATGCAGATATATAACGATTATCATAAAATGATTGAATATAAACTGATTTATGATAATATTTCGAACTACGATCTAAATAAATGTTTTTTTATTGAAAAACTAATAAAAAAAAACTTACGAATATAAAAATGTTGAATAAAAAATTCAGCATTTGATTTCAAAGAATTAGAAGAATATAAAGTAAGTATACTCAATGGACGTGCTGGACTACCAAATGGTTGTGTTTTAGATGTTAAACGTTGAATCTCTATCGATTGACATGTACTATCACAATTCTTAGAAAAATTAAAACCAATATGTAATTCAATAATACAATTACAAATTGATTTAGATGCTGAACTAAAAAAGAAACGAAAGAAATTCTTTTTTATTAGCTAACTGTTAAAATAGAAAGAATATATATACATACTTTCGCTTAGTATTTTTCGATAATACATTAAAATAAATAATATCGATTTTTATTTCTTGCATTAATAATTGATTAATTTTTACATTTGTCTAAAGAGATAATAATTAAAAATAATTAATACAAAATTTCGATTTACTTGTTCTTGAACTGATGCAATAGATAAACTTGTATTAAATGTACTTATTGGTTGACATAGAAGTTGTTTTATTGAATAATCGACTCGAAAATAATAATCATATTGAGATTTTGGTGATTTATTTATTCGATCTGCTAATTCTAATAATTCTGTTTGTGGAGTTCTATAAATTAATTTTATTAATGAATTAGAAATATAATATAAGAATAGTTACATCGATGCTTTTTGTTCAATAAGTGAGATAATTGTTATTATGTAAAATAATCCCACAAAGAAATACATTAAAATAAAAGAAATTATTATACATTTCTTCGATCTTCGACTATAAAAAAACAAGATCAAAATTTATATAATATAAAAATATTTGACATGAATCCTACCTGACAAAATACATTTTCATTGTATTGCAATAGTTATATTCGCGATGTATATATATACGTATGAATTACGGAAGAAGTAAAATGTGAGCAATACATGATTTATAGACATAAATCATTATCAAATGAATGACTAATACACAATTGTACTTTAATGAAAAAATCGAACATGGTAATTGTTTTCAATATAAATCATTTTATGTGAATGAGGAAAGAAAAGAGAATATTATGACACATAGTTAGTGCTTATTATCATTAAAATTGCAGTAACTGCTGAAAAATATTATTAATTTACATAAAAGTTTATTTTCACGGTATAATCACCCCTAGGAAGTTCGTGTAACGGTTGTAAACATGTTCGGAAGTAAATGTCATACCTGTGTCTTGTTCCTAGGAAGGTTAAATTTGTAAACGTACGCATGTGTAATGAGAAAAATCGTTTCAGGTACATATATATGTGTCCTTAAAGTATACAAATCAATATTAATGATTTGCATCATTTGATATTTTTATAATCGATAAAATATCGGTAATTATGCGTCAGTTTTTATCAGACAATAAGACTAACACTTCGAAATGTTGTAAAACCTTGAGGGTATGGGTGTGAGTGTGTATCTTTTCTCAATTCACCCGCACCCAACCAGAGAATTAATATGAATTGGAGCTAAGAACTTGAAACTGTATCATTATACAGATAATTATTTGACGGATAACATAATTATTGTCTTGTATAATCTTAATGATTACTTTTCTTTTCTTTTTATTTAATTGTGTTATCTATAAAAAAAACCATAGTGCAACATAGTCATATAATCTATCGTGATTTGTCTTTTTTTGTTCACATTGAACTGTAAATAGAATTTTATAGTTCTTTCAGTCTCGATTAATAACAACTCAGATAGAACGTAATACACAAACTCTTGTTTACGATAAATAAAAATGACAGTAAGATCGCAAAGTTTATCTGATACCCTCAACCATCCTATAGATATTAATTAATAAAAGTAAAAAATGGTTACTACATAAAATTGTTGTTATCAATGCATTTCGGATATAACACTTTTGAAATTGTTTCTTTATTTATCAGTAAGCAAAACACACTTAGAGAGAAAAATAGTACATGATGAAATAATTCAGTTTAATCAAAAACAAATCTTTATTAATGTATTTATTCACTCTGAGCAGCAATTTGCTTCTCAATAAACTCGACGAATGCGTTATATACTTCTTCTTTAGATTTAGTTCGATCATAATAGAATGAACCACCTGCTGATTTACCATTGAGTTTAACTATATCGAAACTTCGATAATAATAGGAAGCACGATATGTACATATCATATCATCTAGAAAAAGAAAATGATAGAGAAAATAATAATTACTTTTGATATACATTCATACCTTTTTGTAAAGTCATTCGAAAATTATTTCCACATCCCCAGAAATTATCTTTAGATTTAACGTGACTCCATCCATTCCATACTTCACCACTACTACCACCACTAATATTCCAATTTTGATCACCTGATCGAATAACTATACGTGCCGTAGTTAATAAATAGAAACTTAAGAGAAGCAAAATACTGAATAAATATATCACATTCATTTGTGTAAAAAAAATATTATTCTTTGCTGTTGAGTTTTGCACCATGAGAATGAAAGTGGATAGAAGATTGAATCAGTAGACACTTAAGATATGACGATGACAAGCGAAGACGATAAAAAGGGGAAAAGAAAATATTAGCAACTTTTTTGTATGTGACAACATGTGATAGTAATCTGATTGTCATCAAAAATGTAAACTAACTCACTGATTCAAAAGATAAAAATGTATTTTTCAATTGATCACCAGAAGAAAAGAAATTTGAATAGTATGAATACTATCGAAATAAAGGAATTATAGTTGCACATTTAATTGACGTTGGATGTAAAATATTTTGGCTTAGAAAAGAAAAAAATACTACACATGTATTTCATTCTTTTTTAAAATTGCATTCTCATTTACATCCATCCTCGTCATCGTTGTATAAGCTAAGATATTCGATTACTGTTTAAACATATAAATTTGTATCATGCTTTATTATAATAAAAATAAATTAAGTAAAATAATGAGTTGAAAGAAAGTCATTGTTAAAATATGTATCTTTTTGATGAACTATTTAATGCAATATATGTGTAATTGAAACTATATAGAACCACAACGAGAAAATCGAAAAATGAATAAATAATGAAACAAAGAAACGGTGATTATACATTTTTAAATACTAATAAAAAGCAAAAAAGAAAAAAGTAGGAGTTGATAATAAAATGGATTGGTCTCAACAAAGCTGGTTCGTATGGATGCTGTGGTGATTATTTGTCTGACTACAGTGGTAGTCATTTGACTGGATGCATGATTTGTCGTTATTTATGCTGCAAAGAAAAGTAAAATTTTATTTAGTTTTTAAATAACCAATGATTATTCAAATAAGTCAATAAAAACATATAAATACATTGTTATTGTTAACTTAGCAAAAAATTAATATTTCGAGATCTATTCTCTTAGTATTTTCTAAAACGAAAGGATCTGTGTCCTACTAGAAATCATATCACTAGAAGTAACTTACAGCAAGAGTTAGATTGAAGATAAAATTTTTGAATTCTGCTGTTGCTAACATCGCTCACGAACATATTGCCATATGTATCAAATGCCATATAACAAGCATTGTTTAATTTGTCTGCTGTTGATCCACTAGAACCTGAACATCCAGCGACACATCGAAATCCAGCAGAACTCGATGCAACAATACGATAATTGCTAGTATCCATGATGAATAGGTATCCGTTTCCATCAAGCACAATACTAGTTGGATAATTGAGTGAAATGGTTCCCGATGCCATACCTCCTGCTACCGTTGTACCATTCAATTCACCGAATCCAAATCGTTGAATTCTATGATTGTAACAATCTGCTACATACAAAGTGAAGTCTGTATCAACATAGATTCCCCAAGGATAATCGAGCAACGATGATGTCAATCCACTCGAACCATTTCCAGCTATCATCACTGGTATGCCTGAAACACTGATGAGATCAACTTTCAATACTTTGTTTAAGTTAGATAAGGAACAGTATAATGTGCTACGGTTGTCAATAAAGAGACCATAACATGGTGCACTAATATTCATTACTCGCGTTCCGATCGTAGCATTTGATATCCACTTGTCGACTTGACCATTCGACGCGCCATTGTCAATATAAACATCACCATTCATTGCAACAAATAAACTGTATGGCCCAGACAAGCCACCTTGAATAGTTCTTGTGGCAGTTGAACTACCATTAGGCCATACTTTAACGACACTGGGGGACCAGCTACTAGCATAGATAGTATTGTATGTATCGATAAAGATCCCATGAGTTTGGGAGCCAAGTGTGCTTTCATTTGCAAATGTAATCGCGTTTGGATACCACGATGCACATGGACTAAACATAGGTCGATTATACCATAGACCTACAAAGATAATAAAATATTATTAACTAATCAAATATGTTCGTATATTTTATAAGAATTATAACTCACCTGTAAAATTACTAGTAGTTTCTTCAATGACAGCTGTAGTCAATTGTATATCATTAGTTGGTAATGAAATAAAGTAAACTGAACTATTCGAATTACTCACTAACGACAATTCAGTTGTTACAATAGATTCGGAGAACATTTCACATGTGTTATTATCTCGAAAACAATTAAAAGAAGAAATCGGTGTTACATTCATCAGCATCAGACAAATACATTGATCACAAGTGCTATTGATGACTGTTGTGGAATTAAAACTTAAAATCTGCATAGAAACATTATGGATCACTGGAATATTTCTTGAACTGTCAGAAACTGTTTGCATATATTGAAAAAAAAAAGTACAGAAAAAAATAATCCACATATTGTTAT